CGGTCTGTCGTGATGAAGAGAGAGCTGAGTCAGAAGGCGAAGCTCTCAATTTACCGGTCGATCTACATTCCTACCCTCACCTATGGTCATGAGCTTTGGGTAATGACCGAAAGAACGAAATTGCGGATACAAGCGGCCGAAAAGAGTTTTCTCTAAAGATTGGCTGGGCTCTCCCTTAGAGATAGGGTGAGAAGCTCGGTCATTCGGGAGGGGCTCGGAGTAGACCCGCTGCTCCTCCACATCAAGAGGAGCCAGTTGAGGTGGCTCGGGCATCTGGTCAGGATGCCTCCTGGACGCCTCCCTGGTGAGGTTTTCTGGGCACGTTCAACCGGGAGGAGACCTAAAGCTAGACCCAGGACACGGTGGAGGGACTATGTATCTCTCACCTGGCCAGGGAACGCCTTGGGATTCCCCCGGAGGAGCTGGCCCAAGTGGCTGGGGAGAGGGAAGTCTGGGCCTCTCGTCTTAGGCTACTGCCCCCGCGACCCGACACCGGATAAGGGGGTGAAAATGGATGGATGGATTCTCCAGTGATCAAATGAATAAATATAACAAGATAGGAAACAAACAAAACATTTCTTTAATTTGCTTTTGCAAAATGATGCAACTTGTTTGATTTATCTAAATCAGTTTGGATTAACAAAATGAAAACCTTCTACCAGAAACATTCTAACCTAAATTTAATGAAACAGCAGTGTTATTAAGGCTGATGATGCACATCATAACTGCACTAGCAGCTGCAAAGTCTTTGTGGTTTTTAACTTCTTTGGTCAGTGGAGGAAGATGTGTTACTTTATTGCATGTTTTCTGCATTAACGTGCAGCCTTATAGGGGAAATGTGTCGTTTTTACCGTTATTCTCTGGAAATATCCATGAAATTTTTTTGAAAATTAATTAAATAATACCCAGGTGTTGAAAAATATTTGGCGACTTTGTAACATATACCGTAACCATAAAAATCTGGTTTAAAATACAGGGGGGGGGGGGGGGTCTAGGTCTCTGGGGGACACCATGGGTGTTTCTCAACAGGGAGTCTAAGGCCTAGTCCACACGTAGCCGGGTTTTTTTGAAAACGAATATCCGCCCCTCCAAAAACTTGCATCCACACCACTTCGTTTTAAAACAAAACTCTGTCCACAATACCCGGATAAATACGTTGTTAAGGACATGCCAGACCTGTAGGCGGCAGTACTTCCCCCGTTCTTTACCTCATCCTTCGTCTGTGGTCTTCCGCAAGGAGCAGTAATTCCGCTTGCAAAAACAAATGAGCAAAAAGCGCTTGGACAATTGATAAAACAAGCGCAGCTCTGAGGGCATCCATGATGCCGGCTAGTGTAAACACAGGTCGCACACGTGATGTCAGCATTTTTTGTCGCGGAAAGTGACGTTGCAGACCTTAAAACTCTTGTTTTGTCTGTCCACACGCAGACACCCAAAATGGAGAAAACGCAGATCTTCACTTTGGCCGGAGTTTTTAAAAAGATCCGTTTTCGTGTGAAAAAACTCCCCGGCTACGTGTGAAAAGGGCCTAAGTCACTTCTGCATCACGGGTCCCAGGATGATCAAAAAAATGAACGCAAGTCATCGGGGCTAAAAACACAATTTTCTAATTCCGCTTGTTTTGTGCCATGGATTTCACATATGATGTCCGTGAATTTTAAAGACGCATTTTGATACCAAGAATGTGCTTATTTTTGAACGGGGAGGGGTGTTATTTTAGGTTTTGTGTGAAAAATAAGTCCAGGACTACAAATGAGCTTCATGAAAGTGACGTCATCGAAACAGACACGGAGAAAACTGAGGGAAAAGGGCTGTACGTTTAGCAAACTTCCCACAGGATGAAAGACCTACCATAATTCTGGTCATTTGGTAAGTAGCAGCTACGCTAGGGGAGAGGAGATTATGCGACATGCCAATTTCTGGTGTGTAGTAGTTAATTACAAACTTTTACAAGCTAATAAATCTCAAAGAACGTGACTGGCGTGGTCGAAACACCCATCATTATTTTTCATTTAAATTGCAGTACAACATATGTGTGTCACGTTGAGAGGATGGTTTGGACCCAAAATGCAGTAACCCAGGACGACACGAGGCAGAAGTGGATATGAAGTAAAAATCCTTTATTTTTAGGAGGCTGGGCATAAATCCAAAGGCAAACACTGGCAAAAAGGCAAAACAGAAGCTCTTTCATGAGCAAGATCAGGAGAACACTCGAGACGGACAAAACAACACTGACAACGACAATGAACCGACAAGACAGGGCTTAAATACACTGGGGCATAATGGGAGGCAGATGAGCTGCAGGTGTGTGGAGTGTGGGGGGAGGACCAGGTGAAAGCAATGACTAATCAGGGAAGAAACTAACATGACCTAAGAGTGAACCTAAAAACAGAAAAGCAACCATATAACTAAAATTCTAAAGGGAAGGAGAACTACAAAAACCGGTGGGACAAAACATATTAAAGAGACTAATAAAAATGAAAAGCTGAAATTATAAACACTGCAGAGGGATGACTGGAGAAGACTAAAGCCCTGTCCACACGTAGCCGGGGATCTGCCAAAACGTAGATATTTTTCTACGTTTTGGCCTGTCATCCACACGAAAACGGAGTTTTTTCACACGAAAACGGATCTTTTTAAAAACTCCGGCCAAAGTGAAGATCTGCGTTTTCTCCATTTTGGGTGTCTGCATGTGGACAGACAAAACCGGAGTTTTAAGGTCCGCAACGTCACTTTCCGCGACACAAAAATGCTGACATCACGTGTGTGACCTGTGTTTACACTAGCCGACAGCATGGATGCCCTCAGAGCTGCGCTCGCTTTATCAATTGTCCAAGCGCTTTTTGCTCGTTTGTTTTTGCAAGCGGAATTACTGCTCCTTGTGGAAGACCACAGACGAAGGACGAGGTTAAGAACGGGGGAAGTACTGCCACCTACAGGTCTGGCATGTCCTTAACAACGTATTTATCCGGGTACGTGTGGACAGTTTTTTTAAACGAGGTGGTGTGGATGCAAGTTTTTGGAGGGGCGGATATTCGTTTTTTTTAAAAACCCGGCTACGTGTGGACTAGGCCTTAGTTATATACTGGCCCCTATCACCAGGGAAAATACTCATTGTCACTTTAAGAATGCAAATAACTTAATTTTGTTCCCAGGTTTGTTATTGTTACTGTAAATTATGAATTTGAGTATTTTGGCAATATTTGCATCTTCCAAAAATTCAGTTACCCAGATGAGGATGAGTTTCCAAACTTCACAGCTGACTGAAGCAGCTATTGAGGCATTTCTGACATTTGAGAGAATCTATGTGAGTTTTCAGAAGTAAAAGTTACTGCCATGAAGACCTTAATTCAGTTAGATTTGGTTGGTAAAGTCTGAGACCTTCCAAAACCATTCCCCCACAACTCTTTTACTACTCAGATAATGATTCATTACAGTTGCAAAGCTCAACATGGGAGTTTAACAACTCATTATTCCAGTAAAGCTCAGCCTGCAAGCCCTGCCAATAAACAAACAGACAGGCACTTTAAAAATAAAAGGTAGGAACTTTTGGTGCTCCTGCTTGGTGGTCTTTAAATTCTCAATTTTTACTTGAAGTTAATTCCTTCATTACTTCCTACTCAAGTAAAATCTGCTTTGCTCATCTGCTGGCTCACTTGAATGTCTCAGTGTTACAGTCCAGAATGATGTAGGTGCATAGTTTAGATGAAAGTTTTTCACATTTGTCTATGGGAACATTTCTCAGCATGCGTTTTAAAGTCTACGTTCTGGGTGAGCACATGTTGCGGTGGGGGTTCAGGAGGGAAGATGCACTTTTGTTGCCAAGTAAGGAAGGTACCCTCAGTGGTGGTGGCATAGGCGTCATTTTAGCTGAGGATGCTGGGGACATATTTTACCCCTCCTTCCCGCCCTCTTACTGGACTCCCCACCCGCACTCTCATGGAGCCCTGAAAGAGTGGTAGATGTCATTCCAGTTGAATATGCTTTCTGTGGCTTTCAAACAAGATCTTACTAAGGTTCTTTAAAATACCAAAACAATGACTACACTTGTCTACAGCATTATTACACACAATTCAAAGTATCGTAGTACACAAAAAAGTGTATTTAGTGGTAACTCGCTAATAAACAAGAATTTTACAAAACAAATATGGCTTTGGCTCAGGACAAATGTCAATGTCAGCTAATGGACTTTAAGTTAGCATAACATCTTATTTGATTTAGGGCCATAGCCACAAAATTGCTAATGTATGTAAATCACACAAACCTTATATTTATCTGTTAGATGATAAATGACCCGCACTTGTATAGCACCTCTCAGACTAAGGACTCCAAAGCGCTTTACACTACAGTGTATCATTCATCCATTCACACACTCATTCACACACTACGATATGGCCACAGCTGCCCTGGGGCGCACTGACGGAGGCGAGGCTGCCGAGCACAGGCGCCGCCGGTCCCTCCGACCACCACCAGCAGGCAAGGGGGGTTATGTATCTTGCCCAAGGACACAACAGCAGAATTCTCTGTCCGGATCCAGGATCGAACCTGCAACCTTCCGATTACTGGACAACCCGCTCAACCTGTTGAGCTACTGCTGCTGCCCCCCTGTTATCAGCAGTGCATAGGTGTCAGAATTTTAAAATTCTGTATAATCTGAAACAATAAGTGAATTAACTTTAAATTAATGATATATTTTTTCTAAATTTGTATTTATTTATTTATTTGTTTCTCCAATTTGACGTGTCACACAGAGTTACCACATGTGCCACCCCAACAATTTAACTGCCCCCACCCTCCGAACTTTCCTCGGAGCGCCACTGCCGTGAAGAGTAATTCATATTTCTCAGATGACAATTACACTTTTGGAGCAGGTTTTTTTAATGTATGTAATCAGACCCCTCCTCTGGGGACTCCTCGCCACGTAATTGTCCTCATCCAAGGGAACCCCAAAGCAGCCTTAACGCAATATCCTGAGCACAAAGGGGGCCTGACTCCTGGAGAAACCTGATACCGCTTTTGGCCCTTTAAAGGAAAGTGGGATGAGTCTACTGAATGGAGCTCCGACAGAAGTTTGACCGAAGGCTCCCACAGAAAGAAAGCAACAGCAGCAGTGGCGGGAGACACGGAGAAGCTGCACAGCAGAGGACAACTCCCGCAAAAGTAATGAATGAGTGAGTGCGGGAAAGCGGGAGAAGTTATGATCCGAGTCCAGACGAGTAACCGGGGAGGAAGGTGTCCGTGAGCGGAGGCAGCCGACAGAGGAGAGACAACAGTCACAAGGTAAAACTGGTGTCCAACTGTCTCCGAATCCCACATTTAACACGCTGCTGGACATAACTTCATCCAGGAAAGCTGTTGGGGATAATTAAAATGTGTATTTTGAGAAGTTCAACGTTTTCCTTTACCTGACCAGTTAGTTCGCCGCTATCCAGCCACGGCAGTGCGCACACCTGTTCCTTCTTGTGGTCGTTTTTGTGCAAAATGTGAGCAGTGCGCGCCCCTTGAGAGGCCATAAAACACTTAAAGCTGCACCAAGAGTGTAAAAGAAGAAAACGATTTACGGTTAAGGAGTTTTAGGGGCGGACACAACTCAAGTTTGCCTCACATGCACACATCGTGTTTTGCGCAGGGATCAAATGCCATTTCCAGGATGCATTTGACTTATTTGACTGCAAAAGAAAAGCAGTGACCTAAAATGTGTTTTGTGTGGAGGGCATTAGGGTTGCAGAGGTGGATGTTTACACCTCAGAGCAGAGGAATGTCAGGGCCTGTAGTTAAGTCTGAGACTGATGAGTGTGGTCACTTCTCCCAGCCCTGTCATTAACCTGAGCGCGCAGGTTTGCATGGCTAGTAGAGATTTAGAGGAGGCGGGGAGGGTGGGATAGGTGCCGCGGGAGGAGAGGGAAAACGTGCAGGGAGGTGAGATGGAAAGACAAACAGAGGAGCACAGAAGGAATAAGGATGAGGTTTATACTGAAAAACCAGGTTAATAACTTATCCCTGTCAGATGTTTTCATGTGGGAGTTGATGGGATACTTGCCCCTAAGCCACTGCACTCCGTCATTCCACATGCTGCCCCCCACTGGCCATGTATGGATTGACAATAACGTTCAGCTTGATTGTGTATAAAAGTCATAAAGTCTATTAACAAAGTCGCTTATAGAGTGTCACACTGCTTTTATTTCTCCTTAGACAAATCTACACCATGTTGTGGTGCTCATTATCAACGTTGAGCGCAAAATGTTCAAAGATTGCAGTTTTAGGAGACTGCAGTTCCGAGTTTCTGTCTTTAGGTGGCGCGTTAGAGCTGTTTAGTGGTGAACGTAAACATAACACTGCTTGTCCTTGATTGTGAGGCACTTCTGCCTGTTCTGAGGACTATATATGGATTTAGTTTTCAGAAGGGATGGTGGTGTTTGCTAGCCTGGAAACCTAGATTAACCGTAGCAGTAGCAAAAGATTCTGATCTGCAGGTTAGTTGAGCAGATAGAGGTACTTAACCGTTTATTTAGGAGGACTGCCTCTTGACTAAATACTTCACGTTGTTCATTGCTCCAATTGGTCCTAGCGCTGTCCAGTTGCATGTAGAGACATTTTGAAAGACAACCATTGATTCTGCCCCACGATGGCTTGCCAGGTTAGTTGCAGTACATTTCTTGGGATGTCTCAATACAAATTTTTCACTTCCGATACAATACCGATATTGTAGCCTTCAGTATTGACCGATACCGATATCAATCTGATATGATACCAACAGAAATCATGCTAGGGCTGCACAATATATCATAAATATATTGTTATTGCGATGTCAGCTTGCACAATATGCATATCGCAAAGAACAGAAAAATATTGCAATGAATGGTCAGCTCAAATGTTTGCTACACATAATGCATTCTGTCAATCAAACGGAAGCATGATGCTTTTTTTAAACAAATCAAACAGATACCTTCACCCGTTTGGCCAATCGGGTGGGTTCTCATAGGTTAGGCGCCCGCCCCTGAGGCGGATGGCACTTTATTTTGATGGTTAGCAAACACCTGAGTTAGCTTTGCTCTGCTCTTTCTGCTGATTCTTCTTTTCCCGGGATCCACGGATTGCCTTTTCTTGTTCATTTTCTTTTTCCCTTTCCTCACATCTTTTGCTTTGCTCATTTTGATGATTTTTTAAATTTATCTGTTTTTGATTATTTTTGTTCCTGAGTTAAGTTTTTATTTATAGCTAGTAATATTGTCATCGCAATATTAATCACTGTTATCGAATATCGTAGGCTTTCCTAATATCGTGCAGCCCTAAATCATACATGCTTGAGGCTCGTTCAAGTGATTTTACTCAGTCGGAGAACAAGAGCCAATAACAGTAAGTATTTAAAAAATGACAATGTTTTCTTAACCATTGGTTGCAAAAATGTCAACCGTAATGGACTCAGGGTTTCCCTTACATAGGCATAGCCGTGGCGGCCCGCCACGGCTGAAATCCCACCGCCACGCCTACAACATCCCAAGTTTTATTGATGTTATTTATTTTATTTTTTTTGCGCCGTTTCCCGAAGAAGCAGCGGGAACTACTGTGTTGGTGCTTGCGATCACAGCCGGCAGGTAGCAAGGAGGAGGAGGCAGGGCAGGGTGGTTACAGCTATGAGCGTACGGATAAAGCATTTTTGATGAATACGAGCAAGAAACGAGGGTAAAACTCGTAAATATCTGTAATCGTGCTGAATGAAATCCTCATTGGGTAACTGACTGTCTTCACGCTCTGTGATTGGCCAGTCAGATAGAGCGCCCGCCCCTCCCTACACACAAAACTGCAGCCGGGAGCTCCGTCAGCTCGGCCCAGGCATCAACGCACACACACAGACAGTAAAGCCGGGCGAACACTGTGCGACTTTTTCACTTTTTTGAGCAGATTTTCCACTCGTGCGAGAATCCACGAGATCGGGGCGAGTTTTGCGCTGAGCGTCGTGTAGTGTACAGGGGGTTACGAGAGGCGATTAACACCACGTGACCAGCTACCGATCAGCAATCGTGAGCTCGCACGGACTTCTGGAGTGTTTGATATTTATCTCGTTCCTCATGAGGGTTGAAGCGGCGCAGCGAGCGGCTGCGACCCAAAAAGTACCAGAACCGCTCACGGCGCATTCGCAATCCTGCATCAAACCCGCTCACCCGCTATTTCCCTAATAACACACGTTGTTCGTTTTTATTTCTACACGTTTTTTTACTCACAGAGATTGTCAAGAAAGCGTGTTTGTCATGTTCATGTCAAATTAAACTGATCACAAAACACAGATTTACTTTCTTTATTTCGTTTTCCTCATCCAACCCCCATAAATCCCTGTGTGTCCTCCTGCAGCACTCCCGAAGGACAACAGGCAAAACAAGACAAAAAAGTCTGACGTGTTGCGTAAAAACTGCTATTTTTAACATATTTTTAGGTCCGACGTGTTGCTACCAGACGTACAGTGAGCACATGACTCGTGAGATCTGCCCTGCGCTGAAGTCGTACAGTTAGAGCTGAAGCTGTGTTACGAGTGAAAAAGTTGCACAGTGACCACCCAGCTTATTATAATGTTCACTGTAATGCATCTTGATGTTCTTAACAAATAAATTAAATAAAAAATATTGGTCAGTAATGCCAAATATGTAAATTTGTGTTTCAGTCATTTTATACTGGCTTAAAAATACTTCATTAAGTCTACTAAGCAGGGGTGTAGAACGTTTTTAATAAGGCCAGCCCAGTAATGATCTTGGACCAAAATAAAGGGGGCAGAGAGTCAAATAAAGGGGGAAAAAGAAGATGTTTTTCCAGACGCCAAGAAAAATTTAATGCCAAATCCACCCTGCAAAGTGTGTCACTGAGAATTTAAAACAGAAATTATTCTTGTGCAAATATTGGTGTACTCACCTTTAATACTAGTTATTACAATGCAGCAGTCGCTGGATTGGTGCAGTTCAAAGTGGAGTGCATCAAATTAAACAATATTAACATAAAGGTGAGACGTGTCACCCCCCCCCCCCCCCCCCCCAACACCACCTCCATCACAGCTTGAAAAATTCCTAGGGGAAACACTGTGGACTGCTTATATCGGAGATTTTTGATGCCGTCCGATATAATCCAATACACTGTGTTTGGGCCGATATCGAATTACTTCCGATATCGATATTAGAACGGGACATTCCTAGTCATTTCTAACACTTGAGAAAACAAAAGTTTGTTTACAAAGTGAAATTCAACTAAATCATTTGACTACTCTTAGTAGCCCAAGCAATAGCTCAGGAGGGCGATCGGGTTGTCCAGTGATCAGAAGGTTAGATCCCGGCTTCCGCCAGAGAATGCTGCTGTCGTGTCCTTGGGCAAGACACTTAACCCACCTTGCCTGCTGGTGGTGGTCGAAGGGATTGGTGGCACTAGTGCTTGGCAGCCTTGCCTCTGTTAGTGTGCACCAGGGCAGCTGGGGTTACATTGCAGCTCATCATCGCCGGCGTGTGAATGGATAAATGACTGATTCTGTTGTGAAGCGCCTTGGGGGGTTGTAGAACCCTAAGAAGGTGCTAAACAAGTACATTCATTTACCAAATTAAGATGAACAAAAACACAACTGATCTACTTCACTGTCTATACCTTAATTATAATAATGACAATAACATAATAAAATAATTTTTGGTCAAACACATATTTTAGGGTTAAATTGCATGTTTATTATTATGCAAGGTTATTTAGAAGGTTAATGACTGAGGCTGTTATAATTCAAGCATGAAAAGGTTTAATTAACTTTTGCACATTTTGATTTTGTAAATTTAATTAGAGTGCTTAATACATTTTTTCATATTTGCAAAAGTAATAATAAAAAACCCAGAGCCTCTACATATATTTCATTAGATTGTCTGTTTTAGTTTAGCATGGATTGAATATAAGGTTTGGACTTAAGCGCTACACTAGAGTTACTCGTGTTTATGATTCTGAGCCACAGCTTTAAACTTAAGTGGCACCCCCCTCCCCCGCCTTTGTTGAACATATGGGGCCACAAAGGAGAAGGAAAAGCAATATTTAACACACCCATACAGGTCCGCTCGGGTCGTTTGTCTGTGTCACCACACACACACACAGAGATCTGCCACGCTGACACAAATCCACAGTGACTGACCCAGATTTAAACACTCCCAGTGCTCTCTGATGGGAGTTGGTTTCATTTTCCAAGACGAAGGGAGGCCAAGTTGGACCTCAGCAGAGACAACAGTGGAGATTTCAAATGTCTGCTGGGAATGATATCGCTGAACCTCCTAATCATTTACATCCCCACAGCTGTGTGTGTGTGCTCGTCAGGGTGTGTGTCTACCCACACGTGTCTGTTTCCAATCTGGTGCTCTGTCTGTGCTCTGGTAGGAGAGTTATGGTTTGCTGTGGAGTGTGTGTGTGTGTGTGTGTGTGTGTGTGTGTGTGTGTGTGTGTGTGCGCGCGCGCGCGCGTGTGTGTGTGTGTGTGTGTGTGCGTGTGTGTGTGCGTGTGCGTGTGCGTGTGTGTGTGTGTGTGTGCGTGTGTGTGTGTGTGTGTGTGTGTGTGTGTGTGTGTGTGTGTGTGTGTTGGGGGGTGTCTGCATCACTGGAAGGACTGACGAGACTCACATTACTCATCCTGACTGGGTTTCCGTCACAAAGCCAGAAAGCAGCATCTGAAACTGCTGCTGCTTAAATATTTTACTGTAATCTGAGACAGTGTTTACATTTGAATAAAGATGCTACCTGCTAAAAATGAAATGAGAAATAATAGAAGAATAAAAATATCATTGGAACACAGTAATAGCAGAGGTAGCATCTATCCTTTTGGGCTACTTGAGGTGGCATTTTCCATTCTGTCGTTTCTCCTTAGTGTTTGCTCTGGTTCTGGTTCTGGTCGTGTTCTAACTGTCAGAAATTTCAAAGAGGAGAAGCTCCCGGGACTGTCATGTCTCTCTGCAGTCATCAATCTGGGTTTCATCTCTTTTCTGGATGGGCCAGATTTTACTAAACACACCCAGTGTAGCTAATTGATGCCTTGGTTTTTGTCCATTGTGTGTAGAAATAATGGACAAACAGCTCTGCACCATCACCCGTAGGTGTATGAAGAGCTGAACTTAAGCTCAATGGGTGGTTCCTACCACTGCCATCTTGGCTGCGTCACGCCCGGAAAATACAAACATGGAGCTCAGAGCAGCGCTCTGAGGGTGGAGCCAAATGATTGACACCCATCAAAGTCTGCGACAATGTAGCTACAAGCTACCTGAGCTAACTGAAGCTATCATCAGTCAGGTATAAGCATGTCAGAGAGTAAACAACTGCTGACCCAGCATGGCTTGAGCAACACCTAGTTTATAAAAGCAGTGGGTGGTAAAGGAATTGGTTCAAGGAGAATTAGCATGGTAGTGCTAAGGCTTCTAACCAGGAAGTGACTTGTTTCTCACGCCTAGGGTTAGGGGGTTAGAGACCTGACCTCGTTTTGTTCCAGCTTGATGGATTTATTTAGGCTGAATTATCCTGACTCTTCTGGCTGTCTTCACTCGGCTGCAAACCTCTTTGCTACAGAGATGTTGGACATTGACTGTCCAGTCTGGGTAGTACAGCGGTTGGCTGGTAAAACCTCTGTCGGCATTGACTTCTATAATTTGTTTGCTAGGTCTGTATTTATAAGCATGCTGATTGTAGGGAGTGCCACTGTGCACTTATAGTTGCTGGACTTTGAACGTCTGTTCTCTCACTAAAGCTGTCTGGCTGCACTTTCGTCCCCAGTGGAAAACAAGGCCGTTTTAGCTTCCCCAAAACTTATTTAGTTGCGTTCTGACAGCTCAGCATCGTCGACTTCTTGTTTTGTTAGCACAAAAGTCCACCTCAGGTACAAGGCCTCTTGCATACACCAGTTTCCCACATTCAGCTCTTGGCCCATTCCCCGTCACACATTCTTCCGTCTTTTCTCTGCGAGGCGAGATGACGGCTCCCCTTTGTAGCTGTGAGGCACTGTCATGCAGAAAGACACCATTGTACCTTGTGGGATCCTGTTTCGCTCTTTCCTTGTAATTAAGAAGGGATTGCTTTGGACTGGGAGTTGTGGGTGAGGAGGGGGCAGAGAGCAGGGGATTGGGTTAGTAGGTAATTGGGCTAAAACCAGAGCACTGACCTGCTTGGTGGATGGCAGGCCTATTTCCTCCACCCCCCCCCCCCCCCCCACTCCCAGTGCCTCCCTGCTGAGGTTTTGTTCAGTGTGTGTGGGCATGCGGTGAGCCGGTAGATGAAAAAAGGAGAGGGAGGCTGTTTGTTTCTGTTCACTGAACATGCAAATGTATGATGGGTTCGTTTTGGTTTGGTGCCACGGCAACAAGCTTTTATTAAAGTCACGTCATTGTTGACTCATCATCAGGGCTTTCTTCACTCACGCTTCCTCAGTGAATCATGGGAAGTGTGGTCAGCAAACAGCATTTTAAATGTTAAATCGTTTTTCAGGAAAAATAGAAGCTGGAATACTCATTAACATATTACTAGTTCCTCTTCCTGTTGCGCGTTAAGTGTATGATTATTGGTCACAGTTGGAAAGCAAAAGGCTGCAGCATCAGTGTTTGTGCACTTTTCCTTGTGCACGTGTATTTTTTCGTAACATAAGCAAAATGTCTAAAAGCACTGGTTGGATTTGGATGAAATCTTTAGAAACTTTCAATTGGATGAACAATCAACTTGGCATTTCTTTATATGTCTATATATAGTCTGGCTATGACCTACAGACAGAGCTCGGTCATATGGTGGAATCTATGATTGTCTTTCAAACTCGGTGTGTTTACATGCGCATCAGAAAACTGAAGTATTGCCCTAAAAAGACTTGCGGTGGTTTTTTAAAATGCACATAAACGTGTTCGTCTAGCTGAAGGCGAACTGTGCGCATGTAAACTAGGATAAATACTTCCAGCTTATTACCATAAGATCTACCTGGATCAACTTAAGCCTGCTTCACACGAGAGCAAACTGCTGAGCAAACGGCCTTGAATGATTGTTTGCTCAGCAGATACCTCGCTGTATGCGTCCAATTTTCACTCAGTTTTCCACCTCACGAGACGCTGAGGTGAATATCTGACCAGTTTGATATTTTCCGCCTCACTGGGGTAAAAACTCGCTGTGTGCTACTACGTGAGCTGCTGGCTGAGCTGAAATTTTCTAGTGGCCAATCAAAGCTCTTCTCTGCTCACGTGACCCCAAGGTGGCAGCCCCCTGCCCTGTCTGCATGTCAGAAAATAAACAGAGACAGAGCTGGAAACGGATGAAATGCCTCTTATTTTTTTGTTAATGAGGCGTTGCTGCCACCAGCATTTCAAGGTTAGGAAAGTATGGGTAGGTTGGCTGGAAAGAAGGGCCAGGCAAGGCGTTTATAACAATCTACTCCAAGAGATGCATATTGAAAACCCAGAATCCTTCTGACAGTACCGCCACCTGGATCCTGGATCCTTCGAGAGGGTAGTGGAAACAGTGGGCCCGTCGATCCACAAGGTACCGTTTTGTTTATTTGTCTGACGCACAGACAGGGCAGGGGGCTGCATCTGAATACGTCTTGGAATCATGTGAGCGGAGAACACGCTTTGATTGGCCACTAGAATAGTTCAGCTCAGCCAGCAGCTCACGTAGTGCGCACATAGTGAGTTTTTACCCCCCCGTGAGGCAGAAAATATCAAACCGGCCAGATATTCACCTCAGTGTCTCGTAAGGTGGAAAACTCTGTGAAAATTTGCCGTTTGCTCGGCAGTTTGCACTCGTGTGTGGCAGGCTTTAGATGTCGGTCAGTGCCCATGTAAACGCACTGACTGTCTCTGCATGCAATTTGACAATCTTGGGAACAATCAGAGCAATGAACAACATGAAGTGTTTGGAAATCAGTCACTGGGGAAGTCTGCCATGCATTGTTGAAGAAGTAGAAGAAGTACCTCTGTCTATACATATCTAAAAAAAAGCCCAAGTCTAATTTGTCCTAGGTTGATTCCAAAGCCGTTTGAAACAATCGCCGTTCCTGAATTGACTTTTTCTCCATTGCATCTCTGGTACTAACCCTGCCTAATGTTTCTCTATAAACGTATGGCACGTTCACACTATCATCAGCTCTACTTGGACTGGGCTGGGTTTTGGTGCGTTCTCTTTTGGGGGTTAGGGTGTTGGAGACCGCCCATGTGCTCAATCACGTCCGCATTCTTAAAGCAGTGTATATTGAGCACGGCCAAGCTGGGGCGGGCAGAGCGGAGTGGAGCCAATGCTAGTAAGTGGCAATAGAGTTGTGAATGGCTCTACCTGAACTTTCCTGAGCCAATGGTAGACATGCTAAGGCTACAATGTAGCATGGCTAGAACAATCTGCACAGTAAAATCATTTGCCACAGCTACGATTGGTCCAGATCTTTAGACTAATGATCAGAATCTCATTAATCTAATTCAATATGGCTGCCACTGCAAAAAAAAAAAAAGGCTTTAATTTATAGTCAAATTATGTCAGAACTGAAATATTGACCTGGAAATTAGTGACAAGCCAAGAGTCATTCAGAACTGTTTCCATTTGGTTTCAGCCCTGTCGAACAATTAGCTAAATATTTCATGAACCACAGGACAGATTTGTTGGGTTTACAACTAATTACCCTTTGGGGTGAATTCATGTCATCATGGCTGCTCAACAACGGATCAACTCTGCAAACACAAATGACACAAACATATTAGCATAAAACTGTCTTTGCTGGTAACTCTGGTATGGAAGATGGCTGATCAGTCCTTTTTATTGAGATAAAATCTGTTTTCCTTCCAGCCAGAGTCCAGTGGCCGAAGCCTGATTACTTGCCATGGCTGACGTGTTGGAAAGCAGTGGATCAGAATCCGTAGGAGTGTCCAACGCGGACTGGCAGAAACGCTGCATCGCTCTGGAGATGCAGCTGCTGAGGTTCCGTCTGCAGGCGGGAAAAATTCGGGAGCTGCTGGCAGAGAAGGTGAGGGGTTAATCAGAGTCTTATGTCGCTCGCTAAACAAAAGATGATCACTTTTGTTCTTTGCATTTTCATACAAGCTGTATGTGAGAATGCTCATTGAAGCTTGATTCATTTTCTTTTTTTGTGCAAAAGAGCTAAACACTCAAATCCAAGTTTAATCCAATAAGCTGTTAGTATAAAGCCCTTTTTACAAGACACATCATGCAGGCAAATCAGCTTCATATTACAGCATCAGTGAGTCTTATATTCGCGCCACACCGGAATGGCGTTGCGGGAATTTTGAGACATCCGTTCCGCCTCGCTTGGTAGTACTATTGCGGGAATTGTCTGGCTTATAAACGGCGATTGCACAACAGAGGGCGGTGTCATGATCACGTGGGGAGTTACTGCCGTGCTCTTGCCGGCAACTATATTGAAAATAAAAGTAAACACGGGCCGTAAGTTCTGCTTTTTGAGCAAAATCAGCTGAGTCAGCAAACGGGAGCATTGCAACTCTCCAGGAGCTTCCCTTCGTTAGAGGAGGAGCTCTGATCACCAGAGACTAGTGATGAGATTCACGGCTCTTTCATGGGTGCCGTTCATTTGCCGGCTCCTTTGAACCCATGTGAAACCAAGAGAGCGGGGGTGGGGGGGTAGTTGTTGTAGTTGATGTCTCCATCACAGCGGTGGGTGGGGTTGAGCGGGTGCGCTTTACTGACTTCCGGGGAGGTTTGTTACCGGAAGACGATTCGTTCGTGAACGTCACATCACTACTGGGTGCGCCCATCGCTCTGGAGATGCAGCTGCAGCTCGAGACCCGCGACTCAACTCCCATCGTTCATGCTTATGAGCCGTTCAAAAGAATCGTTTCGTTCGCGAACGTCATAACTCTACCAGAGACTGCATGGGGACTGTGTGGGACATGCACCTTTAGGAGCGGCTTTTAAAAAAACGTAACGATCGCAGCTTCAATTGCAATAAAAAGCAAGTTATGTTCAAGATAAACAGAAGTCTGCGGCAGCGCGAAGACCGCCCCGGCACACCACCACCACCTTCCTGGTGCCATTGTGTAATCTTTAATAAAAAGGACACGTTTGCGCTACATTACCGCCACGGCCTTTATACCAATAAATGACCTTTGGCTCCCTGATGCCGCCACGGCATTGCAGCAAATTTAAGGCTTTGTTTTGTAAAAACGGCTTAAGTGTGTGCACCAGATATTTGCAAACGCGGCCTAGTTTGACTCCTGAAGCATCAACAGTGGAAATGTTCTGCTTTGATGAACTTTCTAACCATTTGAATTTCACACATGCATGAGAGGATTCTTCACTTCATGGCTTAAAACTACTGAGATCACTGGCTTTTTGTTTACAGCACATGAGCAACGCTCGGTGAAACAATGTTTTCGTAATGAAATAATGAAGCACATGGTTCAGTTTGAAGTCCAGGTGTGTGAAAACGCTTGGTTGAGTCAGTGTGCATCATCCCAAATTGGTAACATTTTCATCTAAGAGGAATGTTTAACATTAAACTCATCCATTTGGTGCTTTCCCTCCAGCTTTGGGAATAACAACCAGCCGGCAGCCAAATGCTTGTAAAACTGTGGTTGCTGTAAAGCTACCAGACACTTTGGAACGTAATCCGCTGTCATCGGGGTATTGAGCTCCACTCTGTTGGTGTTAGAGTAGAGCAGAGTTTAGTAGCAGAAATCTGTTTTTCCTGTCTTTACATTTCAGTCTTTTTGATTTAAAAGCTTTAGGTTGCTTTTGCAAAGTGGTTTCTTCTGTGTGTCGTCCCTCGATTCTAGCATGATAGAGGGGCTCACTCAGTCAGTCAGCAGGATGTTTACAGTCCAAACAAAACCCTGGAGCTGATAAGAGAAGGACGATTCCCTGCTGTGTCCTCTGTCAGGTTGTGAGTTGCCAGTTGTGAGATCTCAAGTCACACACACACACACACACACACACACACACACACACACACACACACACACACACACACACACACACACACACACACACACACACACACACACACACACACACACACACACACACACACACACACACTCACACACACACACACACACACACTTAAATAATCTTATAGGGTTCAGATGAGTCTACTGGCAGCTGGAGAGCTTGATGATAACGCTGGGAACCAAATCAGGTTAAAACTCACATCCTCTTAATTATTAGGTCAACATATCATAATAAAATACACTAGACCAGTGGTTCACACCTTTTTTCTCAAGAACCCCCTTGCCTATGCCCAAGATAAGTCAAGACCCCCAACTCTAACTCCTACCCGCATACACACATTAAAAGTGATTAATATGAAACTGTATGCAGAGCTGTAGCTCTTATGCAGGGTTTTGGTTATACTGTTGGGTGTGTTATTGGAATTTCTAAATGTAATTGTTAACTTAATCTTGGTATGTTCACAATCTCAGTACAGACAAATTTGTGAGGACAGCCTGCAGTCTTGTGAGGCCCCGTTCAGGGTTTGTGGACCTCAGGTTGGGAACCCTGCACTAGACATCCACACAGATGGAAGTACTCCTGTTATGTCACAGCAGATTTTTACCTCTGTTGTAACTAGGAATGTAAAAAAATATCGATATGGCAATATATCGTGATATTTTTCCCAGCGATATTATATCGATTTTCAAAAGCTGTGTATCTAATTTGTAGAAGAATTTACATGCAAACATTTGTGTATTTTCCTTTCATTTGGTGCAAATCAAAGGCCGACCGCTAGTTGGCAGCAGTGTGCAATGGGTTTTGTTTCCACCATTGAAATGTAAATCCCTCTATTATGGTTCAGATACCTCATGTTAAACATGTAACCTATCAGTTTGGACTATTTATTGAATTTTCCTACAATAAATTCAGTCTAACAATCGATAATATCGTCTGACTGAATGTATCGCAATTTATTGCGATGTATCGCATTGTCTCCCATTTATTGTGATACGTATCGTATCACCATAATTTCACCAATACACATCCCTAGTTGTAACCATATTTAAACTGTGTTTAATTAAAGCTTCTTTCCGGAGTATTTCTCTTATCTGATGGAACCATTTAGTGGCTGATAAACATATCACACAAAAAGTCTATTCCTCTGTTTGTTTATGATTGCGACTTCACGTTTCTGTTTATAAATGCGCTTCTGTAGCCGATAAACGGAGCTAAAACACGCTGTTTTACGAGTATTATTCTCATGTCATGTTGTGTGTTTTCATATATTTATATTTTAGAGACTTACTTGTCTGTGAAAAGTTCATCAACTCTGCATCAGCCGAGGTATTTCTTAAATTTGAATCAAATAAGCGGTAGTCTAATGCTATTGGTTAGTTCTGGTCGGTGCTCAGTTTCCAATTAAACAGAACTCTGTGGGGCAGGGGGCGTGCTTAGCACAAAAAATAAAAGACGTATTGCTTCTATTTAATCACAGTACATGAAGAGATGATCACTTTTACGGATTTCAGAAAAATCATACATCATTTCTGAAAGGGGAAAACTCCGGAAAGCAGCTTTAAATTACACCACTTAAACATACTGAAGCAGCTTTTAACGTCATATTCTGTGTACTGGGGCCTTTTTTTTTTGTAGTTTTGACCCCAAAAGAAAAACATTTAAAGTGTCTGGTTTGAAGCTGAGCTAACTGGGGTTTGGATCTACTATTCAAATTATTCTGCTTTACAAACATGCTCTTACTTTACCGTGCCTTCTACACGACTCACACCTCAGTCCTGCATGGGCTTAAACCCCTACATCATGTGGGGGCATTTCAAATAGTCTGTGCAGTTGAAGATGGCAGAATGAGAACAAAACACACTGGTGGTGTTTGACATGCATCAAATTATTTGTGTCCATGGTTATATCCCTTGCACTTTGGTGCAGCATCCAGTGATATTCCTCTTTAGACAGTTCTGAAAACACGCAAAACATATTTTGTGCTCTTTAAATTAATTCCCTGAACATCTAGGCTCCATTGTGCATTTCCTGTTTTTACTCCATCTCCACTACCGCCAGCGTTTGGTTAGTATTTATGAAGCTATAGGCTAACTGGAAGAATAACGACACAAAAGGCCACATGTCGCCATCTACCGTATTGGAGTGGAACAAACTACATTTGAGAGTTTGGGTTTCTAACTTACATGTAAACTAGGATAAAGGCTCCCAGCCTTTTGCCATAGATCAACCTAGATCGAAGTAGATGTGCATGTAAACACATTAGTGGTGCAATGGATCCAAAAACTCACAGTTTGGATTGGATTGCGGTTTACAGTCACGGGTCGGATCATATTTTGGATCAGCAGGAAGAAAGAGAAAAGACAATAACTCAGCTCTCCCTTTACTTTGTAGAACACTTAGTGCAACATTTTTCTGCTCTATTTGCAACTTGCTATAAAAATTGGAATTAAAGAGAGGTCCACTATTTGTTCCAAACAATATTTCAGGTCCCATCACGTTAATGGAATAATTGTCCCACACGCCACCTCCTTCCCTCCTTTCACAGAGATCAGAGGTATGTGTGAGCGTACTGTGAGTGCTGATTGGAGGCACGCGTGTGTGTGCGTTAACTTTTGCAGTTTGTATCATCTTTGTGATTTATAGGGAAGTCAAAATGCTCCCATACATGCAACTTAAATGATGCAGGTGCTTTTTCCAAGCTCCTCTCCTTCTCCTTTGCCATGACCACCTCTGTACTGTTCTTGTTTGGATTGTAAAAGTGGCGCCTCAGTCCTCCGCGTGACCGATCTGCGAACTATGTGCATACCGAACCATACAGATTCAATCAGACCTCGCATCAATGATGATCGATTGCACCCCTAAAACACAATGAACGAAAGTGTTAATGGAAGTAAAACAGTGCTGGATCTGATATCTGGGGCTTTAAACACCAGAAGTTTTATTAGCATTAGTTACTTTTTCACTCTGAGATGGGATGGACTTCACAAATTAAACATTAATTGTTAAATGTTCTTTTTCACTAATTTGGTTTGTGCTAGTGTGTGTGTGTGTGTGTGTGTGTGTGTGTGTGTGTGTATACCGGTCTATACATCAAAGTGAGGACCAAAACAAGTTTTTTTACCTGCAAACTGAGGACATTAGTAGCAAAGTGAGGACATTTTGTTGGTCCTCACTTTGGTACCATGTTACAGAGCTCTACGGGTTAGTTTTGGAGGTCTGGTGTGAATTAAGTTTTAGTTAGGGTTAGGGTTAGGAGTGGATTAGCTATGATTAGAGTTAGGGTTAGGGTAAATCCAGTCACTAAAATGAATGGGATTCAGTGACGATCCTCACAACGAATGCTAGACCAGTGTGTGTGTGTGTGTGTGTGTGTGTGTGTGTGTGTGTGTGTGTGTGTGTGTGTGTGTGTGTGTGTGTGTGTGTGCGTGCGTGCGTGTGCGTGCGTGTGTGTGTGTGCGTGTGTGTGTGTGTGTGTGTGTGTGTGTGTGTGTGTGTGTGTGTGTGTGCTCACGCCTCTTCATCTTCTCTCTTGCCAAGTTAGGAGTGTTTTATGCATTGACCCACTTTGGAATGGAAAAACATGAAGAAAAAAGCAAAGTGGACCTGGTTGCCTTTGACACAGCATTCATCTCCAGCGAGTGGCTGCGAGTTACAGCGATGAGGGAGAGATGGAGAAGCCCCGTTTGGGCTGGGAGGAACTTTAACAAGACGCTCTCTCCTGTTTAAGAATTGAAGTCATCTTTTACTGTTGATCTGGAAAGTGTCTGACGGTTATGAGTTCGCTTATAGAAACTGTAAAGATTTTCCATTTGTAAAATAACTGGTGACAAGTTTTCAGCACAAAGTTGATGGAGCAGTTAGAAAAACAAGTGTGTGTCAAGCCAGTGTGAGACCGATAGGCGGATTTGTGTTGCATCTCTGCAGTGACACGGGTGTTGTACCAACCTGTTGTAGTTGTTGTCTCCCTCAAGACTTCCGCTTGCGTCCTCGCTTGACTCGCGAGATCACAAAACCCCTCGAAACTTCAAAGCTTGTTTATGGCGTCCGCCATTAAACCAAAAGAAGGACCTCAAGTTTGATATCACTGTTTGATGTCATTTATAATGTTGTTCCTCTCTACTGCCATGATTAAAGCCATGAAAGACATACTTGGAAATGTCTGCGTTGCAGCTAGTTTGAATCACCCCAAAGAGTTTAATGAATTCTATTTGAAGCAGTGCCGTTCCGCTGCCACTCTGCGCCGCTGATGCTTCCAAGGTGAAGTAGGAGTTAGAGATAGAGTGAGAAGCTTGGTCATCCTAGAGGGGCTCATAGTAGGTCTGCTGCTTCTTTGCATCAAGGGGAGCCAGTTGAGGTGGCTCTAGCATCTGCTTGGGATGCCTCCTGGATCCCTCCCTGGTGAGATTTTTTGTGCACATCCAACCGGGAGGAGACCTAAAGGAAGACCCAGGACACTCTGGAGCATGGGTAGGGAATCTCGGTCCTGGAGTGCCGCTATCCAGTATATTTGAGTTTTTTTCCCTGTACCAACACCCCTGTAGGTCAGTAGGTGATTAACAGGCTTCTGCAGAGCTTGATAACTTAGTGAACAGGTAAATCAACCAATTATTCAGGTGTGTTGTTGCTAAAACATGCTGTATAGCAGCGTGCCAGGACCAGGATTGCTTAGCCCTGCCCTGGAGGGACTATGTTTCTCGGCTGGCCAGGGAACACCTTGGAATTCCCCTGGAGGAGCTGGCCCAAGTGGCTGAGGAGAGGGAAGTCTGGGCCTCCCTGCTTAGGCTGCCCCCGTAGTCTGACCCCGGATAAGCAGAGGAAAATGGATCGATGAAGGTTGGTCTAGCCACGCTCCATTGTAGCCTCAGCAGGTCTACATTGGACTGAACAGATAGTTCCAGGCTCTAGCCAATCACAGCTCTCTATATTTGTAAACAGATGTTGGGTGGGCTGAGCACCAAAGCTACAAACATGGCATTGTCTCAGAAACAGCATTCATTTGAAACAGCTTTGACATCAAATTAGGACGATTTAGACATGGGCTTTTCTTTGAGACATAAGCAGAAAGAGGTACTCAAGTCCTTTGTTTCAAAAAAGGACATATTTGCTTTTTCAGCTGTATGGGGTACTGTCCCTTTGACTGATTCTGATGAATAGCGATGAATAAGTCATGTTTGTTGTTCTGATTAGTCCTACATGGAGATGGTTTGTAAGACATGAAGCAGATGGATGCTCACATGCTTCAACATAGGAATTTTTTTTTGCTTGTTGTAGCTTTTGACTCCTGATGAAGGCTCTTAACCTTGAGTTGAAGAGTCCTCTAACCAACAGTAGCTGCCTCCACCCACGCCTTTCTCTGCAAACATACACTGGCTCTAGTGAGCGATGCTCGGTTATAGTGTGTGGCAGATTCTGGGAATCAGAGCCTCTGTGAAAGGAGTCGAGTGAAAGACGAAGTGAGAAAAAGTCACGTTCATCTCTCATATAGAGTGAATCCATTTGAAAGTTTGTTTTCCTTTAAACCAGGTCACTGAACTCACAAGAAAGGCCGACCTGTGTTAAATCTGTTCCTGTGCAAGCGTTTGTGTGAGAGAGCGAGCTGAGGTGGTATTTGTGTGCAGATCAGTGTTTGACTCCATGCATGATTGCTTAGAAGATGACGTGAGCTTGTGCACTCCGACTTCAACATCCTTCTCTCTCACTAAGTCGACGTAATAAGTGCTGCCTGTGGAGCAGCTGCTCCTGATCCCTGATTGGCTAACGTTTACGCCTCATTCCCATCAGAATCAGGAATGATTCCCTTCACTTGGAGAGCCTTCCTGATGAGGTAGATCTTTGAAATTAAATAATATATAATAATCTAATAATCTATCTATCTATCTATCTATCTATCTATCTATCATCTATCTATCTATCTATCTATCTATCTATCTATCTATCTATCTATCTATCATCTATCTATCTATCTATCTATCTATCTATCTATCTATCTATCTATCTATATATATATATATATATATATATATATATATATAATTAAATATATTCCGATATGAAAGTTGATTTACTAATTGCATCACATCTTGGTTGATCAACAAGTGCTTTGAAAACTTGTCCTCATTTAACATTTATTTGAATAAACTCTAATTTATTTGATGGAATCACATCATCAGGTCAAGTGTTCTTGACTTGACTCAGTCATGTGATCAGATGCTCCGGCCTCAGGTCCTGAAGAAGACGTTTGCCGTTCGTTCTCCCCGATGGTGTACACGTCCAATTTAGATCATTTTTGTCTTCCTTTCCTCTCACTTCTAGTTTCCTCCCACCTCTCCTGAAACGTGTTTTAATGTCTGCTGTGTGTGTTTCAGATGCAGGAGCTGGAGCAGAGGGTGATGGAGGCTGACCAGAGGGCCGAGAAAGCAGAGAAACAGGTAGAAGGGAACTTTGCTACTAGGGATGTAAGAAAATATCAATATGGCAGTGTATCTTGATATTTTTTCCAGCAATGACATATCGATATTCAAAAGCAGTGTATCTAATTCTTTGAAGAATTTACAAGCAAACACTTTGATATTTTCATTTCTTTTGGTGCAATTAAAGGCCGACCGCTATTTGGCCGCAGTGTGCAATGGGTTTTATTTCCACCATTAAAATGTAAATCTCTCTATTATGGTTCAGATACCTCATGTTAAACATGTTAAGTATCTAAAAATTCGATATTGTCGGACTGAATTTATCGCAATATATCGTGATATATTGTATCGTCTCCCCAGTATCGTGATGCGTATCGTATCACCGTCATTTCACCAATACACTTCCCTAGTTGCTACACAGCAGATGTAAAACAGATTTGCTTGGAAACAAACAAATTTTCTGAAGCTATGACAAAGTCTGATAATCTTCAAGATATTGTTTAGTGCAGTGATCTCATGATTTATTTATTTATTTACTGCAAATCTGGGTATGAAATCATGTCGTTGACTAAAGTAAAGCCTTTAGGGGTGTTTGTTACATCTCTTCTGATCAGAAAATAAATCTCACCTGTTCAGAGCTGCATGTTTTCTACATTCATTACATTTGCAAGGGATGTTCCGATCATGTTTTTTTTTTTTTTGCTCTCGATCCGATTCAGAGTCGGTTGATTTTGAGTATCTGCTGATACCGAGTCCCGATTCGACACTTTTTAGTAAAGCATAAAATTGTCCTTTAGGTTTCACTTTCATTTGCTTGGAAAGGACACTGATTAAAATGATGATACATTATGAATGTATTTAAAAGTAGCACCGTTGCTCTTATTTCAAGTTTACTCCTTCAGTATGCAGCTGTATTGATTGATGCGCAATCCCGTGATGGAGCAGGCACGCAGAGTCTCAGCTGGTAGGCTAACTTTTCCCTGCACAACACCTACCACTGGCAGCTCTGGTGTTGCAGGAAACAACCTGACGTTTTGTAGTTTGTCGGCAATTTCTCTTTGTTAACGTCGGCTGACTCCGCGTTTTTGTCCGAGTTTGCTGTGAACTGGGACTCTTAATAGAGACGTGATTCTCTTTGTAGACGCCCACAGGGCAAAGCGTCAATAAGAGTAGTCTTTTTTTGAAGACAGCGATTCATGAAGCTGTCCTTCCAGCATGTTGAATATCCAATATGCACACATTACTAGTGGCTGTTGCTCTGCCCTTTCTGCTCGGTTTAAAACACCACCAAGTTGAAGACAGTTTAGCTCTCCTAAGGAGACACGTTAGCTCTGCATTAGCCAGCTGCTTGCTAACAGCTGCAGCTTGGTGTCTGAATTTCTGCCTGCTGTAAATTGTGTAATGTTACTGTGTTGTTTTCGTACAAAAATCAAAGAATATTGATGTAGAGGAACTTGTAATAAAAACTAAGTCGTTGTTATTCCATTTGAAAATCTCTCAGAGTGAATTAAAAAAGTCATGTTTGTTGTTCTAAAAGGTTAAAAACTATTTCTCCCGATTCTTTTGAAATCAGGTGATCGGACCCGATTTCCGATCACGTGATCGGAATGGGGCTTCCATAATATTTGCTCTACTTTGAAAATCTGATTTTTTTTAAATAGTGAAAAAAGAATTTTTTTCCCCTACAGATGTTAAAGTAGATTAGAGGATTTCTTATTTAATTTTATGTATTCAAAAACATGTCGGGGTTAAACATTTGCTGTCTTTTCTGGCTGTTCCAGGTGATTCTTTTGCAGGAAATGTTTTAAAATGACCTCTCTGTACAAACACCTGAGGGCTTTTCTGAGCAGCGCAGGCGAACCGTGTTCTCCATTAATTATCTATTTTTTTCTTAAATTGGTGCTTTGTTTAAAGCCGCTGAAAACTAAAATGACTGTGCAGTGTGCACATTTGAGCTCTCCAGCCACAGCTTTGCACTCACCTCTTTAGTTTTGTGTTTCAGATCCACATCATGGAAGAAAAGCTGAAGTCAGCAAACATACAAACCGGCGAATCAGACAGCTCCCTGTATAGGAAGTGCCACGAGCTGACCAATCAGGTCCAAGAAAAAGACGGTGTCATAAAGAGACTGGAGGTGCAGCTGGAACAACAGGTGGGATTCTGGTTTTAAAAAGGAAAATTCTCTTTTTCTGATTGAATTATGACTCAAAATCTTCATCCTTACTCCAGATCCTGGTTAGAGCGCAGGAAGCAAAGATTATTGAGGAAAAAGCTGCCAAGATTAAAGACTGGGTCACCCTTAAGCTCAGAGAGGTAAGATGAGATCATTATTATTACTATTATTAGTAATTAGTTAATTTCTTTTAGTCTTTACAGTCACAGGTTTTCACTCCCCTTTTCCCCACTAAAGTATAATAATTATTATTTAACCTTTCTGGGGCAAACAGAAAATAATCTTTATTTTTTTTTAAAACATTTAACTGCAAACATGTGAATTGATCTGGTATTTATGGACAATTATTAAATAAAACAAAAACTTGCGTTAACTTAGAAATGTGAGTATTTAATTGTCTTGGTAGTTTGTTATGGTTGCTCAAGAAAATGGAATTAGGAATTCTAAACATTAAATCTCACATTCAGTTAATTTCCATATATATTGTAGCCAGGGCAACAACGATCCACATGTGGCCCCAGAGCCAGAGGTGGCAGACCCTTATTCTTGATGAAAGCAGTTCTTTATGATTAAAAACGACTCATTTCCTGTTCTAGATGGAGCTGGAGAACCAGCTGCTGAAATCCTCTAATGTAAAACAGACGGCGCAGATCCTGCTGCTGCAAGACAAACTTCAATGTGAGTGAAGGTGTTTACAGAACTAAACTTCTAAATTAAACAGGGGTCTCTCTGGAAATGTGATAAAGAGACAAACGAGTGCTGATTTTCAAACGCGAGTGCTAAAACTGCCTGAAAGGGTCACCTGTCAGATCTAAGTCTGCATCAGGATAAAGGTTTGCTGCGTCAGCTACCCTCATGTCTGCTCTACCTTAGTAAGTATTGCTTTCTTCTGACTGGCATGCTCTGCTGGGACACGTAAACTTTCCAGACTGCAGCTCCAAACGGATAATTAGAAGGAGGAAAAGCACATGGCTAATTAACATGAAAGTACATAGAGTGCATAAATACTGGAGCTGCTGTGTTTCTCCGCCTATATTTAGACCTTTGTGGTTTACACCAGTGCAAACATACTTGTTATAATGAAAGGACAGCGTGGACACCTCAGCTGAACTGTGCAGTCTGTGTGTCTCCACAATGCTTGGTTTGCTGTTCCAGAGTCGGGGACAGCGACGAGCGATCTCTGTCACAGCTGTCTGTGTTTACACAAACACTCTGTTAGGCTCTTGGGATCAAATCAGGTTCTGTGGAGGTTTATGAACAATCACCAGTTGTAGACGGCTTCAGTTTGGTGAAACAGTCTATTTTGGACTGGACTGACGGGCTAACGGCTAGTCTGAGGGGGGTCAGTTCTAGAGCTGTCAGGTTTTCTGAGTTCTAGAAAGAGTTCTGAAGGCCCGTTTCAGAGGAAATCTGCAGGAACGTCCCACAAGCTCCTGAGATTGCCCAGAGGTTCTCGTTGTTGTTGCAGGAATTCAGTTATTTAGCAGCCCTACTGCTCAGCAACTGGGCTGATTAGGACAAAGTTAAGAATTATTTATTTATTTGCAGCTGTCTTTCAGTGTTGCAGCAGTCCTGTTGACATTTGAGAACTCTAGAACAAACAAGCCCATCCACATGCTGGGATCTTCATGCATTGTGGACCATGTTTGGTGTTCAGTAGGGCCGCTCAATTATGGCAAAAATGATGCTCACAATTCTTTTGACTGAAATAGAGATCTCGATTATTTAAGACGATCTTTTAATTAATGTAGGTTTAAACATTTTTTTGTTTATTTGTTTATTTATTAGGTCATAAAATTGCACAGGACACAAGTGGAGGAAATAAATAAATAAGAAAAAAAAGAAACAAGATAATCACAACAACAACTGCTGATTTTTGTATAATAGAGCCAACACACTTACTCATAGTTTGTGACCCAAAGGGTACAGGCTAAGGTTTGTCTTATTTAAACGTACCCAAAACAAACCCTATTTGATAAAATATCTGGGCAAATACTGACGGCAAGATTTATACAGTGCATTTATAATAAAAATAAACAGAAATATATATAAACATCAATGTTATAGTGAACATGTCACTCAGATAGATGAATTATTATTTATCAGCGTGACAAACCTATTTCCAAACTATTTATTTACAGGTCCCATCAGTTAATGTAATAGTTATCCCAGGCATTTTGTTCCACCCCTCTCCGTGCTGTCACAGCGATCAGGGGTGCAGGCTGAGTGTTACGCTAACCTGCAGGAAATATCGACGACAGTTATCCAGAAAGTAGCTAACGGTTACCATTAATGTTTCTAGGTTGTTCGCTAGGTATTTTTAGAAAAAAAAGTCAAAGAAGGGGATCTGAAAAGTTGTTAGAAATAGCGGCAAAGTTGCTAAAACCTGGTAATGCTGTTGGGAGGTGCGCTCGATTGGTAACTCGGAGTAAACCGTGAGGGAGGAGCAAATAATCGGCTTGTTTTGTTTTTATAATCGTTCAAAACTCCGATCATAATTGTTATTAAAATTCGATGAATTGAGCGGCCGTACTGTTCAGCGGCTGTTTGGTAAAATGCATTTTTTTAGAGTACATGTAGCAAATTTATTCATGCAAACTTAATGAATATTTTTGTTTATGGGAGCTAATTTGGTAGAATTTTTGTTTCACAAGGTTTCTGATCAAGCTGGAAAATGTAAACGACATGGAAGCTCTTCAATAAGATGTAGAAGCCCCGTTTATGGTGAACGGTGGATGGTCTGTAGTAGGGCTGGGCAATAAATCGAAAATTTATCGTTATTGAAATTTCTGACTCTTATGGAGATCATTTTTCCCACGTCTATAAAATTGATAATAAAAAATGAGAAGATGTGTGTAGGGTGGCAATGTTCATGTCCCTTTAAGAAGCTGTACAACCTTGAGTCACGTAGAAATGTCCGTGTTCGAGATGAGTCAGTTCTGCGCAGATTAGATCAGCGGTGATCGGCGAGCAGTGCATGCCGGTTAGATTTGTGTCTGACTTGACGCCGACTTGCTCTGACGTCATGCATACGTAGGCAACGATAACCTTGTGAGATCAAGGCGGCCGCAGATTTTGAAGCAAGGCGCTGCAGTTGCTCTCCCTCGGCTGCAAAACCTAGGGGATGACGGCAAACGCCTGGCTCTCGCCCGATCTAAATTCTGATTGGTTCATATTTTGATCCGAACATCCGGTAGTTGAATGCAAAATGTTAGTTGGTCACATGTATTCTGTAAATCACGTTACGTTGATGATGACAACGATACAGGCCATAAAGAGAAATGTTTTCTTTTGTCACGTTTCCCATACGCACACTAAAACTACAGCTGAGAACCTTTACTTATTACAGTCATATCTTCAGATACAGTATAGGCTATGATATCCACAAGAACGTGAGGATGTGTTTCAGTTGATAACAGGCACCAGAATTAAAAGTAAAGATTAAACAAGTATGAACGCTAACGCGATATCTTCAGCCATCGTCACCCGCGAGCTACATGTAGGGAAATCTGTCCGACTTAAACGCCGACTTTCAGCCACTCCCCCTGCTCCGTCCGTCTGCTCTTGTCTCTTTTCCAGGCGAGGCACTGCTCAACTCGAACAAGGCCATTGTAAGTCAACTTAATACACGTGACAGCCCCATCTAGTGGACAACTTTTGTTTCTGCACATACCTGTAGTTATCGTCAATTTATCGTTATCGAGGTGAAATCCTCAATATATCGTGATGTTGATTTTAGGCCATATCGCCCAGCCCTAGTCTGTATTTCTGTGACGGGTGAGCATCCTTTCACTGTATCCCGACTGATCATGTGCCCTGGCTACTCTTCCAAGGGGCATGAGGGGATGTCCCTTTGGCTGACTGGTTAGCTCGCGTGACTCTCACGTTAGCTCACATGAGTCTGGGGATCAAATCCCATCCAGGCCCTCGTTTCTCTGCCTTGCCACATTTATAGAGAGCCTTCTAGAGTCATAGACCCCCCCCCCCCCCCCCCCCCCGGTGCTTTACAACACAGTCATTCACACAGTAACACACTAGTGTAAGTTGGGTGCCAACAGCTGCATCCCAGTGAGATGCTGGTATAGCACACGCTGCTGGTTTTCTGACGTTGTTTCCAGATCTGCTGTCTGTAGCACCTCCAGCTAGGAGTGTAACACTTTCAGATGGAGTTTCTTATTTTTTCAGCAGGAATAAAATCATGTGATGCTAAAGTGACGATAATGTCAATGTTTGGATGAGCGGCTAGTAAACCTTTGAGATTATGGTTCATTTCTTGGGCAATAATCCAACTCATCTGTCCGATCATCATTAACCTTCTGGAGGCAGGCGGTGCAGACTTGCAATGTTAAAACCTACCTACCTGGTGACTCCACACACGTATTTCATGAGCATTTTTTAACTAGAAGTACCCCTGAAGGACTTAGTTGTTCATCTTTTCATCAAAACTTATTTTGAGCCTGGGAGGGTTAATCTCTGTTTGATCAAACTGAGGTTGTTTGTCTTCTTTTTGTTTACTGTTGGTCTGCTGAATATGCTTTGTTTTGTGTTCTAGCTCTTCTAGAGAAATCTTCCTCATCGGGATCTCCTGCGACCTCCCCTGTGATGGATACCCACCTGGTGCCCAACAGCCCGCTGTTTCCTCCCAGCTGCCCCGGCACGCCTCCTGCCCAAGATGACAGCTGGAGGCAGACCAGTCTTCGTGGGACCACCTCAGTTATCAAAACCCCGCCAACAGGTGTGCTTCCCTTAATCTAACTTAGTATTTTAATTATAAGTAGCTTCATATCTATCATGTGTTGTCTTGCAGAGGTAATAATTCTGAATTCTTCCTCCTCAGAAGTCAAAAGGACTCCTGAACTGGTCAGTAAAGGGATTAGCCTCAAAGACTTGGCCGCTCATGATGGTCCAGGATGGACCAGCCACCCGGTGGATGCTGAAGTCCACTCCGGGAGCTCCGACAAAGACAACTCCTCTGATGAGCTAAACAGCAAGTTCCGCTCTCAGTGCCTTCACTCATCTTCCTCGTCTTCCTCATCATCGTCCACGTACGAGATGGCCCATGGGCCGAGCTCTCCCGAGTCCAGTATGAGAATAGCACCCAAAAGCCCTCTCCTGTCCCGCTCTCCCTCCACCAACAACCCCTTTCCCAGCCCCCCCCATGGCACCAGCATGACGCTGCCTAAAGTCCGGACTCCGCTCACCCCCAGAGACAGCATCCAGCTGGTCAAGAAGCACTACAGCCAGCCCCAACCAAGCCTGGACCGACTCCACCACCTCAACGTCAACATCGACATCACCACACCTTCCTCAGCTTCCTCCACGCTGAAGAGCACGAGCACCGCCACCTCACCCTTCTCCCAGCTCGTGGAGGAAACAGACATCGACGACGGGCTCCTGGATTGCATGGATGGAGTAGAGGAGGGGCCGCGGCTGGAGGAGCCGTCTCGAGATGGGGTTTCTTTTGTGGGACTTGCAGAAGAGCTGGAGCGGCTGGATCCAGAAGTTCTTAAGCCTCCAACTCCTCCTCTGCATCGCTTCCCCTCATGGGTATGCACTATTCCTCTTTTGTTCTTTTTCTAGTTTAAAAACTAAGAAATAAAGAAAGAAATCTGAGCGAGTTTGTTTGTTTCTGCAGGAGAGTCGCATCTACGCCGTGGCTAAGTCAGGGATGAGAGTGTCTGAGTCCAGGAGCCTGGGACGAGGTGTGTGTGTGTGTGCGTGCGCGTGTGTGTGTGTATGTGCGTGCGTACGTATGTGTGTGTGTGTGTGTGTGTCCGGACGTGACTGGTTTAGAGGAGATGAGTCAGTTCTGTGAAGAGACGTCTTATTTAGCTGATGCTTGTGTGGATCTGTCATTGCTCCTTTTGATGTCATTTCCTCTGGCCTGAGGCTGCTCACACCTGTGCAGGTGTGTGCACCTCTCATCAAGAGGCCTCCTCTATTTTTATTTTTTAACAAGTATGTAAGATAATGCACGGGAGGAGGACGTGAGAGAGGCTGCTTTCTGATCATCTGAATACAGGGTTGTGTTCTAGCTGTTTGGGTTTATGGTAATCTGACTGATAAAATCCTGGCTGGATTACAGTTTAGCTTGTTCAGATTTATTCCACTTGTTGTCAGTTTTTTTTCTGTCCAACGTTTTAAAATCTGAATGGAAGTTTCTGAAACGTGATGTTTTCTAATTGATTTTTCTGTACCAGCGAATGGTCAAGCATTTACCAGTACGATAAAAGATCTACCCCAGAATCCTGCTGCAGGTCCGTTCACCCAGCTGGTCTACAAGAACATTAATGTTCCAGTTTACACCACACTCAAAGGGGTGAGTCGTAGTTACACGGAGCTTTACCTCACCTTTAACTCTTTCACTTTTAGCTAATCTTTACCGTGTGTGTGGTAGAAAGCCACTCAGATTAGCAGTGTTCCTCTGCTGGATGATGACTCCGGTTCGGAGGATGACAGCTGCTCTCTTGCCAGTTTACGAACTTCCACCCTGAACCCAGAAAAGAAGAGCAGCGTTCCTGGGAGTCCGCGTGCTGTAAAGAGAGGCGAGGATTCCTGAAGTGTTGAGAAAGAACTAATATTTGTTATAAACGTGAGACGCATCGCAATCACACTTTTGGACGTTCCTTTTGTCTTGCAGGTGTGTCCATGTCCTCCATCAGCTCAGAGAGCGATTACGCCATTCCCCCTGATGCCTATTCCCTGGACAGCGACTACTCTGAGCCAGAACATAAAGTCCAGCGCACCTCCACCTACTCCTGCGAGAGCTCTGGGCCTGTAAGTAGAGCCGCTAAGTGAAGGCTTTGTGTCTTGTTTGAATCGACTGTTGAAGTTGGCTATAAGTTGCTGGAGTTCTTTGTGTCATTGAAGGAGACGCTGGAGAAGTCCGGCTACCTGCTGAAGATGAGCAGTCAGGTAAATGCCTGGAAACGGCGCTGGTTCATCCTGAGGAATGGAGAGATCCTCTACTACAAGTCTCCTGTGAGTGGATCCCACTTCCTGTTTTGCCTTTTAAGGTGTTGCTGTCTGCATGGAAAACGTCTCTGGAGTGTTTGTGTTAATAAGCCACCGCAGAAGGACTACAGACGAGCTGTGTTTGTGGTGATGTGGGGCGGCTCCGTTACTAAAATATCACAAAATCTTCGGCCAACATTGAAATCAAATTAAACAGGTAGAGTTTTCAGCTGGGACTCACTATTAAGTGTTCAGATTTCCAAGTGACTGTAGGCATTTATTAACGCCAGCAGGGGGCAGAGTTGAGTTTTTTAGGGATGAATAAAACTTAAAAGAGCATTAACTCATTCACTGCCAGCGTTCTTCAGCATTTTCACTGTTTTTTTAAGAGTCACAGAACGTTGCGCTCTACGATGATGTCAACACCAAAACAACCTTCAACACCAAAACAAAGAGGAGACTCACCTCTTACATCCGGAAGAATCCGCGTGTTTCGAGCATTATCCATTCTTTCATCATCCGTTGTTGAATTGTGATCGGCAGAAGCTTTTCCGGTTCGCGCCTCACTTTTTTTACAGCAGCGGCCCAAAACGATCTCCTAACATGGATGTTCTGCTTCCTGATCACGTGACGTGTGACGTACGCGGAAGAAGATCGGCTTTAGAGCTGAGATGTTTGTTCTCACGGTGCGGGGCCTCGTTCTGACGCCCACACAGTAAAAAATATGCAAATGATGACATTAGTCATTAATGAGTTAATTACAAAAATAGTACTATAATCTTTATAGACCAGCTTAAAAATGTTGGATAAGAATTATACCGAAAAAGGTTTTGGGAACATTCAGAAATTAGTTCGGTATACAAACTTAATTTGTGCGTCACATGAACAGACTGTTGTCCAAGCAGGGAGTCGGTGTGCAAAAAAAGCATTTACTGGAGTTCTGATGAGAGTCAGGGTTTAGAGATTAACAATATGGATGTGTCATTTTGACCTATATAATATGCCACCTGTGTGTTTTGCCCTCGTTCTGCTGCCTTACTTGTGCTGACTCATTAAAACATAACAATATAAGAGTGCTTCTAAAGCAATATGCTACAGAATATTTAAGGATGCACCAATATAAAGATTTGGGCCGACATCGTTATGAATGCTGCTGTTATTGTTGATGACGATATCTTATTTAAACAAAATATTCCTCTGCACGTTTATGTGAAGGCAACTACACCTCCTACATCACCCCTCTCCTTCAGTTACTCACCAACCACCTGATAAACATCCGCTGTCAGTATCAGCCCAGTTGTTCTCATCAAACCGATACTCAAATGTTAAAAATGGCCGACACCTTTGCGTAGGACACCAGTGAAATGAGGTGACGTTCTCTAAGCTCTTATATTTGCTTTGTTCCTAAAATTTGCCTTCTTGTGTGTTTTGTGTTTTCTCCAGAGCGATGTGATCAGAAAACCTCAGGGTCAGATTGAGCTGAATTCGTCGTGCTGCATCGTTCGCGGGGAGGGAGCTCAGACCTTTCAGGTGAGCTGGAACACAAACAACACTTTTCACGTCCTCGTTCTAATTTGACAAGTGTAGATTCCCGGCCTAAATGCCAAATATGCAGAGGAAAGGATGGAAATGTAATGCTGGTGTGCTGGGGCTTACTGTCGGCTGGAGCAAGGCTGCATTCCACAGAAGCAGCTTTAGATGACATCAGGTTTAAAGGCTGATTCTGATCTTCTCTGGCAGGCTGTTTCACTTGGCCTGGATTAGCACTTTTCTCTGAGTTTTTCCCTTTTTTTCCCCTCTCTTTGGTGTGATCAGCTGATTACAGAGAAGAAGACCTTCTATCTGACCGCTGACTCGCCCAACATCCTGGAGGAGTGGATCCGAGTTCTGCAGAACATTCTCAAAGTCCAAGCCAGCAGTCCGGTTGCTGTGGAGACTAGGCAGAAACCCACTGTCAGAGGGTGGCTCACAAAGGTCAGAAGTCCTGATTTATCACTGAAACACATCTGAGAACCTCCAGTCTTACACATACCTTTGTGCAGCCGTAAGGGCTGGAGATAAGTGGGACTTTCAGCCTGAGGAAGATGCCAGAAATGGCTCGTTTCCAGCCCTGATCTTCCCTTTTAGACGGATAGTCTCAGATTAAAACCCTCTAGCAGCTTCACGTTCGGACACGGCCACAGGATGAGAGCTGCTGGAATTTTAGAGAGCCCCCCCCCCCCCCCCCCCGCTGTTTAAACAGACATTTCTGAAGGGCGTCCACGACGGCTCCTTGGCAGACGAGTGACAGCCTCAAGCTGAGATGATGGCGCTCGCTTCCTCTCACCGTCAGCCCGAACCGGTCCTGAGAGCCGGCTTTGAACCGTTGCCTCCGACACGACGCTAGTTCAGCCGTGACTCAGAGAGGTCAGTAACCATGGTGACCTCTTCTAAGAGACCCGCCGCTGGCTTTGTCTGGAAGGCATCCTCATCATCATCCAGCAGCTCTCACAGAGACGTCCTTTTCAGACAGAGATGTGTAAATATCATCTCCAGCTACATCCCAGGGTTACGTTGAGTTCTAGAAGGGAGTCGATGTGTTGATGGACCATTTTCATTTGGCAGGAATTAGCTGTCATGCTGCTTTCCACACAGATGGTTGATCTTTAGTGATTTTCTCGGCTGTTGGGACAGCTGCGGCTCGGATGTAGACGTTTTCAGATCAACGCGGGCTGTTTTTTAAATAAACTCCCCGTCAAGCGTCTGTATTTGATTCTGAATGAGACGTCGTCACTGTGTCGGAGTTTGTCCTCAAGCCTTTCTCACATGCTGATTGCTGCTCTTTTTCTTTTTCAGGTCAAACATGGACACTCAAAGCTGGTGTGGTGTTCTTTGGTAGGAAAGGTCTTCTGCTATTATCGCAACCAGGAGGACAAGGTCCATAGGACACGCATCTTAGATCTTCTCTGGATTCGTTTTTACTTTGGTCTAACTTTTTATCCCAATCTCCGTTCCAGCTGCTGCTGGGTCAGCTGCAGATGAGAGAGGCTTCAGTGCAGGAGGTGGATCGCTCTTGTGATTCGGACGAGGACTACGAGACGAGCAGCCGAGGCTTCCTCTCTTCTCACTGCACCTTAGTGGTCCAACCCAAAAACCAGAGTCCTACCTACCTGCTCATTGGCACCAAGCAGGAGAAGGTGGCCAGAAATGGAAATGTCTCTGTACACATCAGGCTGGATGTAGTTTTTCTGATATTTTGATTGTTTAATCCCTGAAAAGGACACCTGGTTGTATCACCTGACTGTGGCAGCTGGCTTCAGCGCAAACCTCAAAGTGGGAACCGAGTACGAGCAGCTGATTGGTCAACTCCTGGATGCAGAAGGAGATCCAGGTGAGAACAAACGAGCTGATGTGTTTTGTTGTTTGGGACATTTGATCTTCTACCAGCAACAGTCAGAAGCTAAAAGCAGCATGAGGATGCCTGACTGACATTTTTAGCACCAGTGTCACTGTGAGGACACAAGATGGTTAGAGCTGATGATAGACCGTGTCTACTGTGGGACTGTAAATAAACCTAGATAACTTTTAATGTCCTGCTTTAGTTTGCTAGTACAAATATTCCTTTTTAATGCTAATTTGTCTGTTCTTATTGCATTTAAACGTCTGTTGTAAAGCTAGATGCTAACAGTTTAGCACAACATTAAATAAAACGTGAATAAGTCCACCTCGTCCTCTGTTATAGGTGCTGTGTGCCTCCCAGCTGCTCTCTGATATGTTTAATATAAAATTACCAGACTGGGTATCTTAGTGACTCCAGTGATTATTTTGAACCAGGATTCTCAAACCGATCCAGATTTACTCCTGCTAGCCTCAGAAGCTCAGAGATGCAGCGGTTGTCCTCCAGTGTCCTCTGTCTTCAGCTGTGGGACAGCTCAGGGTGTGTTTATGGGTGTGAAGCCTCATCTGGAGTATCACTCTGTTATTATACAAGATAAAGCAGATTCTATAAAAGTAATGTCTGACCAAATCCAGTAGGGATGAGTATTTGTGAAATTCTGGCGATACGATATGTGTCGCGATACAGGGGAGACGATACGATATATTGCGATTCATTCAGTCAGATGATATTAGCGGTTAAATTCAGTAAACAGTCCAAACTGATACTGAACATGTTTAACTCATTCACTGCCAGCCGTTTCCTGATCAGAAAAGCGCTTTCAGCGTTTCTACTGTTTGTTTTAAGAGTCACAGAACGCTGCGCTCTTTCATGAATCCAATAGATGTGTTTACAGAGTTGTTGCTTTATTTTGATCTGTGTGTGTGTGTGTGTGTGTGTGTGTGTGTGTGTGTGTGTGTGTGTGTGTGTGTGTGTGTGTGTGTGTGTGTGTGTGTGTGTGTGTGTGTGTGTGTGTGTGTGTGTGTGTGTATCTCTTCCCAGAGTCAGAGCTCTGGAGGAGCGAGGCCTTGAGTTTCTGTAAGGAGGGTCTGCACTCTCCTCTCACCACTTTACCATCTGAAGCTCTGCAGACCGAAGCTCTCAAGCTTTTCAAGGTCTGTGTCCCTCTCCTCCCTCTGTGTGTTTCCTGTGCTCCTGCCCCACTTCTGCTTGATTCTTTCCTTTTATCCTTTCTCTGAATGCGCCCACCATTCTGTCTGCCTCTGGATCTGTTCTATTGAAGACGCCCTCCATCCCACTCCAACTCATCCCCACCAGTAGCCTCCTGGATCTGCTCTCTTCCCTCCTGCTTCCAAAATAGATCAAAAGCTCAGGAACCGAGGGGCCCTGCTCAACAAAAGTGTAGACGAGAGATAATAGCCTTTTATTATCTGCTGTGATTGAGGCTAACTGGTCCTGGGGTTTACTGCCAGTGTGGTAGAGCACCCCCCCCCCCCCCCCCCCCCCCGCACACACACTCATTTAAAATGAGTCTCAGGAGGTCAGAGCCTCCGTTGCTCATGGAAGACACCGGATGGGGCCTTCAGAGCTGAACAGGGACATTGTAGAGAGATGGCAGCTCCTTTTTTCTCTTTCCACCCTCCTTTAAAACTCTCCTCCCAGCTCTGGTCCCCCCCCCAAATGTGGGACCGAATGGTTGTTTTTCTTTGATCAGCCAGCTTTAAAAATTGCCCCGAACACAAACAATGGCACAGAAATAATTGAGTAATTTGCTATTCACATCCTCAATGCCTTTGAAGTGTTAATGAGTCTGACCAGACTGATAAAAACTGCTTAATGAGCTCTTTGTCTCTATTTGTCTCAAATGTCCCCCTCTGTCCCACCCTGTCAGAAGCGGTTTTAGGTCATGTGTCTTTAGCTCCCTCTGCTGGTGGGTTGCAGTCAGCACACCAAAGCGTAACAACCTTCTGTCTCTTTAGTCCTGCCAGCTCTTCATCAACGTTCTGGTTGAGTCTCCTTCCATTGATTACCACACCTCGCTGGCCCAGAATGCATTGCAGGTGTGTTTGACCCACCCAGAGCTGCAGAATGAAGTTTACTGTCAGCTGATCAAACAGACCAACGGCCGGACGCCACACAACCACTCCCTCACGCAGGTCAGTCAAAAATATACACAAACAGTTTTGTAGTGAAAGCGATATTAAAGGGTGTTCCTCTTCTTTCCTGTAGTGTTGGCAGCTGCTTTCCCTGTGTGTGGCGCTGTTTCTCCCTCAGCAACACTTCCTCTGGTACCTGAGACGGTACCTTCAGCACAACGCAGACCCCAGGTATGCTAACAGAGCAGTTCTACGGGATTGGTTGTTAGTCTTACTGTCTGTTGCCATCACCGCGCAGGACTGAGGTGGGGAAATACGCCGTTTACTGCCAGAGATCTTTGGAGCGAACGCTGCAGAACGGCGAGCGGGAAGCTAAACCTTCTCGTATGGAGATTGTCTCCATCCTGCTGAGGAACCCCTACCACCACTCGCTGCCTTTCAGCATCCCAGTTCACTTGATGAACAACACCTACCAGGTGACCAGTGCCTCACTCGTCTGGCCGGTTTAACCTCTACGTCATAAAACCCTGAAGCTTCAGCGTGAAGAACACCTGGAGCTTCAGCTGCATCTGCAAAGGGCTGATTAGATCTGATAGTGAAGAGAAGCTTGTACTAATAAGAACAGAATAAAGTTTGCAGACTTCTGCATTACAGTAAAAGTTCCCATATGTGTAGGTGGTGGGGTTTGATGGCTCCACCACGGTGGAGGAGTTTCTGAGCACGCTGAACCAGAGGATCGGCGTGAGGAAGTCGACGCTGACGGGCTTCGCCCTCTTCACCGATGATCCTTCTGGTAAAGACCTGGAGCACTGCCTACAGCCCTCGCTTAAGGTGGGACAGCTTTTGTTCTAGTTCGTGTCATTAGTGTCAAATGGAGCAGAACATATTCCAGATGAATGCATGCTCCACAATAACATAACCTTCCTCTGGGACGCAATCCACTTGCTGGTGGGATCGTTCCTTGGTGTCTGTGGCATGTAGAACGTCTGATCCGTGTTTCTGTGTTCAGCTGCTGCTTCCTGCTGGCTAAAATGAATGCAGAGTTGATGAAAATCTGTGCATTTAATCTGAGGTTGACTTTATTCCCTTTTTGACAGATTTGTGATGTCATTTCCAAATGGGAGCAGGCTCTGAAGGAGCTGCATCCTGGGAAAAATGAAGGAACTCGGATTGTTCGGCTAACGTACAAAAACAGGTAACTGCTCAGGCCACGCGTTCATAGTGGGAGACAGACTAAAGCAAACGGTTAGGCGGCTGTTGTAACGTTTGTCCCGTGTGTGTGTGTGTGTGTGTGTGTGTGTGTGTGTGTGTGTGTGTGTGTGTGTGTGTGTGTGTGTGTGTGCGCGTGCTCAGGCTGCGCTTCAGGTCTCAGGTAAAAGGAGAGACGGAGCGTGAGCGCCTCCTGCTGGTGCACCAGGTGAACGATGAGGTCCTGCAGGGCGTCTTTCCTGTGAACAAAGAGCTGGCCCTGGAGGTGGCGGCCCTCATGGCTCAGGTCCATAAAAAGCCTCAAAAATCATCTACAGATTAGGAGGATTTATTAGCGTTAGACTCAAACACGAGACGCATTTTCATCCTAAACAGGAAAAATTTAAATAAAAGCTGACTTTCAGCTTTGACAGTAACTTTTAAACCCCCTCACGTTAGTTTCCGTAGGAAAGACTTGTCTGATGTTTTTAAAGAGCCTTTATAAGCAGTTTTTCTGACTTTTTGAAGGTTTGTTAACTTTTAACTCATAATTTTTTTGTTATTATATATTATTACATTCTTTCAAGAAGTTCTCAACTAAGAGACTAATTTAAATTGTACACATTGTGTAAATATTGAAGTGTGACAATGTTCTCTTCAGCTTGAACATGGTGATTTTGAGCGATCGGGCGTGTCCTCTCAGTCCAAATCTCAGCTGATTCTGCTGCAGGCGTTGGAGCGTTTCTACCCAAAACGCTACAAACAGGAATGCAGCTCAGAGCAGCTCAGGTAAAACCAATCATCAGTAAGCCTTTCATCATTTCACTTACCTGTGATGTCTGGCACATTTCATTTTTTTATATGAAAAAAACTTTTAGATTGAACTTTTCCTTCTTTCTAATTTTCTAATCATGAAGAAAATCACTTTATTGCTTTTCTTCCTTCAGAGATCTAACCGAGTGTTTGGCCACCAAGTGGTCCATGCTCTGCGGGTGCAGCGCGTCAGAGTGTGTGAGGATATATCTAACTGTTGCTCGGAAATGGCCTCTGTTTGGAGCTAAACTCTTCAGCGCCAAGGTAAGATACCCACTACTGTTGACTAGCTGCTGAACCAAACTCCTTTAAGCAGACGTTTTGGACATTTTGAAACTTGATTTTGTGTAAAATAATCATCTTACCTGTTATAGATGGTTCCTGATGAGCTAACAGTATTGTACAAGGTCATATAATAATAACACATGAATGATTGCTAAAATGGCAGCAGTAGCTGCGTGCAGACTAGCTGTTAGCTCATCAGTCCTGTAGCAATATAAGCTATTTCTTCAGAGGTTGTTCAGGAACTTTCCGTGATGGGTAAGTATTTGACACAGAAACACGATTGAAAATGGCCCCAAAAAAAGCCCTTTGAGGAGTGTGCTTTTCTCCAGACTGATGAGAAATAACCAGAGTTTCTCTCCTTTCCCCAGCCCGTCCCTCCATCTCCTGTCCAGCAGAGCCAGGTGTGGCTGGCAGTCAGCGAGGACGGTTTGTGTGTGCTGGACGGCACGATGGTGAGCTTCTAGCTGCGTAGAGGAAACGGAACTAAAACAGAATTTCAGCTTCACATTCTCGTGTGTTCTTGGTGGCAGTCGAGTTTAGCCCCAGTTCAGAGATGAAAATCAGAGGTTGGTGTTTAAAACCCTATTAATCACGTGGACAGGCCTCAGCTGTAGCTCTGTCTCCTGGCTTGCCCGACCCTGACAGTTCCAACCTGTGACCCGTTACAGTCAGCTCCACTGGTTTCTGGTCTGGCGCACAGCGCCGCTCATGCTCACTTCAAAGTGATTTTCCTAACGAGCTCCCTGTCTCTGTCTCGGGTTCGGCTATAAAACCCAAAAACCGTTTCTCTCCCTCCTCTCAGCACACGTTGGTCACGCACCCGTACCAGTCGGTGATTACCTTTGGTGGTTGTCGGGACGATTTCATGGTGGTCACCAGCCAGCAGAGGGAGTCCGGCGTCGGGAAGAAGAGGGTGGAGAAGTTGGTGTTTGCGATGACTAAACCAAAGGTGAGCAAGTGTTTCACAGAAGCTGCTTCAAGTCGATTTCAGAGTCTCACTGGACAGCTGACGCCCAAGCAGTAGATTGTTGGCCTGGGTTCACGTCACCACAGTTTTACATCCTTACATAGTTCTATATTTTTTAAATGAATATCTGTAGAAAAATTTATTTTGATCGTCAATAGGTTTATCATAAAATAAAGTTTTAATAGTAAAGGATTTAGGTAAAGCTTAAAATATCCAGAGTCGCATTTTAAGGAGACTGCTGTTACTAACTTACATCAGTAGGTGGCAGAGTTGTGCTGATTAGTGGGGTTTAGAGCTCATTTAGTAGTATATTATAGGGCTGGGCAATACGGCCTAAAAATAAAATCTCTAAATAAATATTTTTAATTCGATTTTACAATTTTTTTCTGATTCTCTCTCCCCCTGAATTATTAAGAATAGCAGTAAGTACAAATGGAAGGCACCTTAAAGCCAATTTAGTTTTTTTATTTAATCACAAGCAAGACAAATGTAACGCTCATTTTTTACATGAATACTGAATAAATGAACACCCTCTTGGAATGAAAGTGCCACGCTCCACGTCCGTCGCAGCAAACCCAAACCAGTTCCAAACAACGGATGATTTAATTCCTTTGTTAGGAACAAACTTCCCACTCTCACCGGTGGCCATGGAGTAATTTGCTGTAGCTGTTGCTGTTTCGTGTGCGTGTTGTGACGTTGTTGTTGCGGTTATGTGAAACTAACGCTACGGAAGCTCCAGGGGGCCAAAAAGGCGCAATTACATAAAAATTTGATTTACTTTTTTTTAATCGCACGTAACAAAACAACTCTAATTCATTAAATTGATTTATCGCCCAGGCCTAGTATATCATGACATTTATTAGAATTAGTAAGAATTACCATGGAAGTTTCTAACATCAGGGCAATTTAGGACCGTACTTAAATAGTATTCATATCATTCAGATATTTAAGATTCATGTAGACACAAAATAATTAAATGTTATTTTCTGCTTGATTAGTCACATGACCGAAAGAAGGTGCTGCGACAGTTGCTAGGATGTCCAAACAGGGAGTGGATGTGCAAGAAAGGTTTAATTTTCTCAGCGGTGTAAAATCATAACTAAAGTGAATGGATACGTGTTTTTGGCATGAGTCATTCCCCACCTATGTGTTTTGTCCTCATTCTGCCAGTGTAAATAAAATATGAAAGCACCACCACGAGATGCTAAAGGGTGAGTTTATGCTTAGGAAGGAAAAGGCAAAACAAAAGTATGAGCAACCTTGTAACGTGGCTTTTAATCAAAAGTGTAATAAAATTGTTATTTTGTTCATTTAAAAAAAAGTCCTTATTAACAACAGCTTAGTGTCATAGTTTAGCTTAGGAAACGAAACTCACCTTAACTTGTTTATGTATTTCTTTAACTTTCTGACAGAAGGAAACTGAACGGAGGGATTTCTGAGTCCAGAGACGACTATTTTTGATTTTTCGAACATGACCTATATTCCAACCCCTCGTTGCACCCATGAGCCTTTTAAGAAAAGTTAGCAACTCCTTTGCACCTTGTTGCTAGCAAACTCAGCCCAGTAAGACCCAGGCTGGAGTTTTTATGACTGTTTGGATTAAAAGTATAAAAACCGTCTGAAGGCTACTGCTTGAGCCCGTTTGTTTTTCTTAAGCTGGGCTCTAATGAAGGAAGCAGACGCTGTTGTGTGTGCTGAACTTTTACACGGTGTTGTGTTACTCCCTTGTTTGATGCTAATGGGGGGAACTTCACTCCTGATCCCGGATCATTTCTCCGGCTTTCAGCCCGAGCTCCTTGGATTCTGGTGAAACATGGTCATGTTGTGATGTTGAATCCATTAAAGCTGAACTGTATTCCTCCTCCCAGATCCTGGAGCTGACGCTGCTCATGGCCAGCTACATTAACCACTGGAACCCCAGTCTCCCATGCGCCTCCCCCCAGCCCCTCACCCACTGGGACGTGGACAGCAGACACTTCCCCTCCATGAGCTACACCACCAAGGGTCCGACCTTACTGTGAAAAGCTGCAGGGAGGCTTCCTGACAGCAGCTACTGTTGGGCTGCGCCAGTTTTTATGGAGCAAAACTCTGGGTTTAATTTGATTTAAGTGGCCTGACTTTTAAATAGCGCAGATTCCTTTTTATTGGACTATTTATACCGACAGGAACTTGGTCCCAGTTTCATTTTCAGCTTTACGTCTTTTTCTAATAAGTTAAAGGATCTGCTTATTGTAAAGAAAGCATCCATTTAGTCATAACTGCTGTGTAATTAACTAACATTGATTCTTTTACGGTACAGACCAGGTGAAAAGGAGTCAGTCTCATGTGGCGGTGCAGATTTAGAGATTTTAGAAACGTATTATTTTTATTTTTAGGTTTACAGAAATTATCTGTTTTTGTCGGGCTGTAGTTCTTCCTTTTTTCTGATTTTTAAATCATCCAAAGTGTCTTTACAACAAATGTTAGTATTTGAGTTGCTAATTTTTATTATGGTGATAATTTAGTTTAAATATTTTCTACGTTTTCCATGCAATAATTGGACCATCATCCACACATAAGGGACTTTTTATGCTTGTTTTAGTTTACATATGTAGCCTAAATCAGGCCAAACACTCTCAGATGAAATATCACTTTTATTTTTATTTTAGTTTTTAGTTTTTTCTCCCATTACCTGTCCAGCTGTAAAGCAATCAGAAAGACTCTCTGAATGTCGAAGACAAGCCTTACAGTTTTACTCACAGGTGGAGCAGTATAGCTTCAGCTATAATGCCTTGCCTGATACCAAAACTTAATTAGAAATGTCTTTGATTGTTTTAAATCTCAGCGGACACAGAGACAAAAATGAGAGAGAAAGGAGAGCGAGGATAGGAAGAGGTGGGGGGATAAAGGTCAAAACAAAGGATGTACAAGAATCTGCTTCTAGATCTGCAGAACAAAGAGGAAAAAGGAGACAGAAAAAATACAACAGAACCAAAATATCACTGCGCCAACATGAGGATATATAACAGTAACAATTTCTGCTGAAAGGCACACTGTAATAATCTATAGTGCATTTAGCGCCAACCACAGCCTTTATGTATTAAAAATGTCCAAGTCCATACTTGTGAGCACCTTTGTGCGTACACACTCTTGTGTATGTTAGGTTTCTCTATAGAAGTGTCCAATAGTAATGGTGTGAGGGACCACCGACGATGGAGGAGTTCCATATATGTTCCAGATAAAATATTATTAATGAATTCAGAATAAACAGAAGAGCAGAAACATATTTAATGGGGATCATTAAAAATACTTGATAAAATTTATTTCATGATAACACATTTTTCTATAAAATGCTTCAGATCCACATTAAAACCCCTCACTGCTCCAGTTTAATTATCAAACATGTTTTATGACTTGAACAGTTTTGGATAAACCACTGTCTAACTTTTGTTTATATTTGTAATTTATTCTCTCTTTATATCAAAAGATGGCTTGAAATAGATTTTTTACACAACGTTTTCATGATGAAACGGTTTCTGTGGGCTTGCTGAGTAATAATTTAAGTGCTGTGTTTGTTGGGTTACTGTGTTAAAATGTGGAACGAATGTTTAAATGTTGCTTGGGAGCATGTGAGCTAATAAACTAAATGGTACAATACCACATTTTGTTAAACTTTTATTATTCAGTTTGTCTGCTGGTGTCAGTCTATAGCTGTAATTGGGCAAAAGGAAATCTGTAATATTAATTTTATTAATGATAATAACTTTATTTTATAGGAATTTTCTAAACTCGGTGACATGGTGCTCAACAGCTGGACCTGAGATGGGCTGGAGACACGTCCAGGGTGTCCCCTCCTCTCACTTTTTGACCGTTGGGAGTCGTCTCCCAGCCTCCAGTCAGGAATAAGCAATTAACAACGTGGATGGATGGATAAACGGCACAATAATGATGTTGAAACACAAAGATGAAATTAAGTAAAATAAACCCACGCAACTGTAATGAAAAAGACAAAAAAATAAATGTAAGTAAAGATTATAAATTGAAGTTTAGCAAACTTAAAACATTTAATTTTCAGAGACAACAGATGAGGCAGAAAATTATTCACACACACACACACACACACACACACACACCTAGCTGGGGCCTCTAGTTGAATTTTCATTTGTAATAGGTTTTTATTTCACTTTTAAAGCCTGAAATGCAAGTGCTGATCATAAAACTAGAATATAACAGTTGGTTTATTTCAGTAATTTCATTAAAAATATATATTAGATTCATTCATTACACACAGACTGATTTATTTCAAATGTTTATTTCTTTAATGATGATTCTAACGGACAACTAATAAAATCCTAAATTCTGTATCTCAGAAAATTAGAACATCAATTAAGACCAATGAAATAAAAATAATTTGATAAATGTTGGCTAAAAGATTGAGCATTTAAAGTGAGAATGTGCAGCACTCAGTATTTAGTTGGGGCTCCTTTGGCCTGGATTACTGCAGCAATGCGGCGTGGCATGGAGTCCATCAGTCTGTGGCACTGCTCAGGTGTGATGAGCCCATGTTGCTCTGATCGTGGCCCTCAGCTCTTCTGAATTGTTGGATCTGGCCTGTTGCATCTCCCTCTTCATAATAACACATAGATTTTCTATGGGGTTAAGGCCAGGTGAGTTTGATGGCCAATCAAGAACAGTGATACCATGGTCCTTAAACCAGGTAGCTTTGGCACTGTGTGCAGCTGTCAAGTCCTGTTGGAAAATCAAATCTGCATCTCCATAAAGTTGGTCAGCAGCAGGAAGCATGAAGTGCTATTAAATGTGCTGATAGACACCTATGTTGGTCTTGGACCTCAGAAAACATAATGGACCAACACCAGCTGATGACATTCAATTCAAAGATACTTTATTAATCCCAGAGGGAAATTAGAGTTTCAGTACACACAATTCTGAGATCAGACATACATAGACATATGACGAGAATTGGTGACTGTGGTCATTCGCAACCCGAGTCGCGCTACCTTAATAGAGATCAAAGGGGTTTACATGAGGATCGGGTCAGGTGGAGGGGAAAAAAGGCACTTCAGAGTTACCCTCCACAGGGATGGCTGCTTTGCTATGCAAAAAACACCTCAGACAGAAATGCAACAGACTTCAGACATCACACAACATAAGTGTCCACTAGGTGGGGAGGTAGGGTTTGGGACTCTCCACACGTCAGTGAATGCAGCCGTGATAAGCAGCGCTCGTCACCTCAGTCTGGACAGGGGGAGGAGGTCGTTGGGTTTAGAGGACACAGTGACTCCTGGAACGATTCAGCGGCCTTCACAGCTCGCAGTCCCACCCAGGATGGGAAAGGGAGACAGAGTTGCCATGGCGAAGGCAGCATTCCACATTTCTTCTGAGGGGTGTATTCGTTTCAGCCTCACAGGCTCAAGGACACCAGATTCAGATAAGAAACTGTTTTGGGGCCAGACAGAGATAATTTCTTCTCTGTCTTAAAGTTCTGTTGGTCCTCAACCCCTCTGAATCCAATAATGGTGTAAATTAATCTATTCCCAACAGTGCTGATTCGTCCACTCGCTCCTTGATCACATCCATCTTTTGTGCCAATGCATGAATCTCAGCTAAAGTTCCAAGCTTACGACTCATCTCGACAATTATATGAGTCTGTGCATTCACAGCGCGGTGTAATCCATCCCTGAGCTCCGGGAAAGAGCCAATATTCCTCGACAGATCGTTGATTTTCCGGTAAGCCAGGTAACCTCCCAGGCCATAAAGCAGGAAACCTGACACCAACACCATGAATATCCATACGTCTTCAGAATCCTCTACAGACAGTTGAGATAAGCAGATCAGGTTCCATTGTTTCCATGAGTCCATGATGTGCCCAACTGGATCTGTCCCAGAGGGGCACCCGGGAGCCCCTTCTCCCGCTCTCATCGTTGAGAAAATTTTGTAAATCACATTGAGAGACCAGCTGACCAGGTCCATTTTTAATAATTTCCAGTTTCCAGAAAAAATGTAGGAAGCGCCATGCACACAAAGACAGACAAAGAGCCTTAGGGATAGATAGGGAGGAGAGGAGAAATAAAGCGTCTGTACTCTCCAAGAGCCCCAAACTACCACTGACTGTGGAAACTTTACACCGGACCTCAAGCAACATGGAATATGTGCCTCTCCTCTCTTCCTCCAGACTCTGGGACCTTGATTTCCAAAGGAAATGCGAAATTTACTTTCATCAGAGAACATAACTTTGGACCACTCATCAGCAGGCCAGTCCTGTTTGTCTTTAGCCCAGGTGAAACGCTTCTGATGCTGTCTTGTTCAAGAGTTATCAATATTATTGATCTTTTGAAATTTGAACTAAGATTAAAACAGGTCTTTTTGGTAGGTCAGAGAAATCATGCCTTCTTAATAATTTGACACAGGCAAAAATATAGTTTATAAAATCAATTTAATACGATATTTCTACAACTAATCATTACACAAAACAAAATATGATGAATGATGGTTGAAACAAGATAACTGAGACAATAAATGAAATGATGGAATGGAAGCTTAGATGTTATGTAGCAAAACCTGATTAAGTGTCTTAGAAAACTGTGACGTCTGATAAGCCTAACTGTATGGTTTAACAAACTATCAACTGATAAAGACCATCCCACGCCAGTGTGCAGAATCTATGAACCCTTGTGGTGAAAGTCCCCGTGTGATCCAGGGGGTCGGAGAAGTCGGTACGGACAGGCTGCCGATGGCGTTGACTTCTGTGGTATTGGAGCACGTAGAACTACCCCCAATATGAACCGTCTGGTCTGAGATACCTACCAGGTGATTGCTGGAATCTGGCTGAACTATTTTGCATCTGATGCAATTTGCAAAGGTTTTGACCTTGAGGTCAGAAAGGAGGATGGTTCCTTATGCTTGGCTTACCCAGTCGGCACGCTAGAACTCACGTGTTCAAGAAATGAACTCTCTTTTAACATCTTAGGTGTGTTCTTGCTGTGTCTTTCTAAATCCATGCTTTCGTTCTTTTTTTAAACACAGAAACAGTTTTGTTTACCTGTTTGTAGCTACAGTTTCGCCGACGGCTGCCGGCTTCTTCAGGCTGACGCTGATGGTGGCGCGTCACTTCCTTCTCCGTTTATCTGCGGGCAGCAGAGGACCTCTTTTATTAACTATTGTTTATCAATTTGGACAAATCAGAATTTGACTAGTTAAAGTGGGCGTTGTCAAAACCCTCAGACACCACTCCTTTCTCAAACACTTAGAGGTTATTCACCTAATGTGAAGTATAATGACAAACATTTTTGTGAAGTGAGTATAAAGCTCCGGGAGTTGACGTCACTTCTCCCGGCATGCAACAGTTCAAATCGAAACGGCGCCATATTGGCAGGCAGAAGCCGACAGCTGGACTTTTTGTTATTGTCAGAAAACTCAATCAGACAGGAAATATGGTAGATTCCTGTTGTGCCCCAGGATGCAGAACAGACACTAAATGAAGCTGTGGGATCCCGAGAGTAAAGGTTTTCGCTTATGCAGCGACCACTTCATATCAGGTACTTAAACCAACGTTTCCTCAACTGTGTATGGTATTTATTTTAAATGCTTTTATTACGATTCTTAGTGGGCTTCCTAAACTTATTTTGGCGTGGCTTTTTCTGTCTTATTACTCACAGCAATAAGTAAACATCACGTAAAACATTTCCTTGTGAGTTCTGTGTGCTGCCGTTTACGTGTTTTATGATCACAGCAATTAACCGGCTAAGCTGTATTTAATTTTTAAGCAATGGTTGATCAATTGTCAGATCACACATAAAAAGCACTTTGGATTGCTATTATCTCTCTCACCGAGACAGACCTCAGACAGATCCTGAGACGTTCCTGCCTGACATATTTATTTTATTCACGGAAAAAAATCAGACTAGTGATTTCTCTTGGCGTTCAGTTTATTCATTCAAACAGCACAGCACTCGATTTAAACTACTTACATGTAAATCTGTTATTTGTCCATCCATCCATTTTCTTCCGCTTATTTGGAGTCGGGTGCGGGGGCAGTAGCGTCGAGAGGCCAAGACTTCCCTTTCCCCAGCCGCCTGAGCCAGCTCCTCCGGGGGAATCCCAAGGGGTTCCTCGGCCAGGTCCGGTAAGAAGTCCGCTCCGACAGCTTCTGGCGTTTTTTAAAAGTATCCCAGGGGCACGGTAAGGGTCGGAGATGTTTAGTCTATTTAATTTCTGACTATATAAAATTATTTCTTCAGTTTTAAAGTGTGAAGTAAACTCAGACGAAGTAAAATCCAAGCCGATCCTGTTCATGTTTACGATCCGTGTTTGTTTACCTTTTTTCCTGCCAATATGGCGTCTACTAACTGAGAGTCACGTGGGGTCCGGAGCTCTATATTGACTATTAACCCTATCAGGCTCAAAATAAGTTTTGATAAAAGGACGAACAACTAAGTCCTTCAGGGGTACTTCTGAGTTAAAAAAATGCTCATGAAATACGTATGTGGAGTAGCCAGGTAGGTAGGTTTTAACTTTGCAAATCTGCAACGCCTGCCTCCAGAGGGTTAATATTAATATGGTAATATTAATATGTGAATATACTGATAGCTTAACATTATTAAATTCAACAAAACTCCTTATCTGGTGTAATTCAAGAT